TAGAAAGGCATACTATTCTTGCTCAAAACTATAAACTGAGTTTCATCATGAGAAAAACTATTAAAGGTCAGTGAGATGGCTCAGTGCTTGCCACTGAGCCTGACAACTTCAGTTTGATCTGGGGACCCAGGTGGGTGCTTTTAAAAGAAGAAATTCAAAGGAAATATGTAGATTATGTCAGTGGAGCAGGGTGTGGTGGTGAACCCCTTTATCCCAGCACTCAAGGACAGAGACAGGCGGATCTCTGTGAGTTCAAAGTCAGCCTGGTCTACAGTCAAGGCTACACAGAGAAACCCTGTCTCAAAAGCAAAAAAAACAAAAACAAAAACAAACAAACAAACAAACAAACAAACAAACCAAAATACTCTGTCAGTGGTGGTTTCCTGTTTTGATCACGATGCTGTAGCTCTCTGGTGGTGACCTGGGCAGTGATACGGATGAGCTCTTTGCAGTGTTACTTTTTTTTAAAGATGGGATACGTATAGTCAAGGCTAGCCTCAAGCTTGCTGTGTAGCTGAGAGGCCTTAAACTTCTGATCCCCCTGCCTGAAGGGGATTTTTGGCATGTCATCACCATACCCATTTTATGTAGTGCTGGAGATTGACCCCAGAGCCTTCTGCATGGGAGGCAAATTGTCTCCTGATGAAACCATGTCCCGATCTCATGTTTACTTTTCCATAAGCCAGAGATTGTTTCCCAATGAAAAGTTATTAAATTAAAAAATTATCCTTAGGGATTTTGGATGACCCTGCCAGTATGAGCCAACAGCGTGGTCTGGTGGGGCAAGGGAGGAAGGAGAGACAGAAAGGAAGAAGAAAGGAAAGGAGAGAAACGAGTGAGTGCCCACCACCTGTCCTTTACACACAATGTGTTGTAGCAGTGTGAAGTGTCAGGGTCCCAGAGACCTTTAGGCCAGAAGGATAATAATCCCCATAAGCTGAAGAGACTCTGGCTCCGAATGACATCCCAGCTCTTCGATGCTGTGCCAAGCATCCAGAGAGAGGACCCGTGGTCTGAGTTGCTTTTTTCCACGCTCAAATGGGCCTACAGACATCAAGGGATTCTGTTAAAATGCAAGTTCTAATTTGGTTGAGCTGGGAGGTACCAAGAGTCTGCTTTTCCAGTGGATTCCCAAGGGGTGCCGTTAAGGCTGGTCTGAACCACACTGCGCAGGAGAGAGCCACTTAGTATAGATGAGCAAGGCACAAGGGACCCATTCGTCACCTGAGGACGGGTACTTTAGACTAAAGAGTGTCCTTTGAGGCTCACCAGAATTGCAGCTCAGAGATGCATTCATTTGGGTGCGGGGAGAACTTTAACTTTGCCTTGGGTATTGAATCCAAACCCCATATTTACAGTTCACTGTCTGAGTGGCTTTGAGTGGATTAAGTACCTTATTCCGAGTCTCAGTTTTTAGTCTTCATCATAGCTAGACCATCTAAGTCAAGCAGATTAACAGGAGGGAAAAGTGCGTTTAAGGGAAGTAGCTTTTGATACAGAATAGAAGTGGACTGTTAGCGTTCATGCTGTGATCCCCTATTGTTGGAGACCCCAGCAGGGATTAATGCTCATGAGAAGTGCTTAGCATCCAAGGCAGTTTGCTTCTTTGCAGGCGAGGCCAGGTTACTTTAGAAGAAATCACCTTGGCCTACTGAAGACTCACCTGTCCCTGCACAGTGGGCCTTCTTTGGTAACTTAGTGTGGGCCTAAAGAAACCTGACGTGATTCTCACAGGAAACAAATATTTGTGGAGCACTAGTTGCTCTAAGAGGAAAAAATAATTTGGAACTCTGTGGCTCCCCACAGAGATCATATTTCACACCGTGTGACTTTTTTGAGTTCATGTTTTGCCTCCTTTGTCCTTAACCTCCTGGCCTCCGTGCTGTGCTAACGCCATCTCAGCATCCTGTGGGCTCCCTTGGAGCACAGGCCTCTTTCAGCAAGGACATTTGTGAGCAGGGGTATGTGTGTGCTGGTGTATGTATGTGTGTGCAGGGGTGTGTGTACAGAGGTCTGTGTGTGCTGGTGTGTGTGTGTGCAGGGGTATGTGTGTGGGGGCTAGAGGCTGATATTGGGATGCCTTCCTCATGCCTTCTGACACGGCCTCTCCTGGACCTGGAGCTTTGGTAGATGGTCCAGCCAGCGGGCTTCTGTGGTTTGCCTTGTCTTCACACCCAGTGCTGTGTTTTAGGTGCGCAGCATCCACTGTGCCCAGTTTTTATGTGAGTGCTCAGGATCCAAGCTCAGGTTCTTACACTTGTATTCGTACAAGCAGTTGGCCCACTGAGCCACTTCCCCAGCCCCTTCCTGCAAACTGTGGAAAGATAGAGATCTTTATAGTCCCACGGCTTGCATTCAGATTATTGGTGAACCAGCTGAATGACACACACAGAGTCCTTGTGGAGTCTGAGGTATGTGAGAGGGTCAGGGAGGCCATCACTACTTGAAAAAGCAGTGCTGTGCAGAGACTTCTAAGAGCACCGGCTGGCAGATGGAGGTGCAGTGGCAAGAAAGCATGATGCACTTGGGAAAATGGGTATGATCTGGACAGACTGAGGCATGACAGGGACATGGAGGAATAGGGGGTGATGACACAAATCATCACAGATACCCCAAGGTCTACTCCCATTGCACAACCAAAGTACCTCATAGGGCAGAACAGACAGGCCTGCTGTAGAGCAGCTAAGAAATGGGGAGGCCAATGAAGAGCTCAAAGTAGGAATACTTGGAGGGTGAACCAAAGGTGATTGATAGTATCTACAGGGAAGTTGAGCCAGGTGTGGTGGCACAGCGCCATAATTTCAGTTCTTGGAAGGAAGAAGCAGGGGAATATCTAAAAGTTCTAGGCCACCCTGATCTACGTAGTGAGTTCTGCTCCAGCCAGGACTGTGTTGTGAGACATGAAAAAAATACAGAAAAAAATGATTAGGAGTTCAGTGGTTTTTTGTTCTCAGACAGGAGTTACTGTAGCCCAGGCTAACCTCAAGATGGCTCCATCTTCTAAAACCTGGGATTGTGGGTATACATCACCTCTCCCTATTGGGAGTTTTGCCACCTCAGTGTTACTCTTAATGCCCTGTCTGCTCTAAATCTGTTTCCCTTAAACCAGAGCAGTCACCCCAGAAGTACCTTTCTCTTGACTGCTCAGGCAGTGGCTTGGAGCATTATGTCTCAGCTGCTTTCTGGGGTTGGGTTGCAGACGTACATTCTTCTGCAGTGAGTGCATAGTGAGGGGTCTTTGTGCAAGCATGGGCAATGTCAACTGGATTTTAGAACTGGACATGCTGTGTCCAGGGCACATTGGGGAAGTTCTGTCACTTCTTCAAATTTTATCCATAAAATGGAAATAATACTGGCTTTCTGGTGATTTTTGTTTTTTGTTTACACACACACACACACACACACACACACACACACACTTTTTTTGGGAGGGAAAATCAAATTAGATGATGATGTGGGTAACAATAATGATGACAAGGATTGGCAAGATGGTTCAGTGGGCAAAGATGCTGGCTGCTAAGTCTAACATCCTAAGTTCAGTCTCCAAGACCTTCACGGTGGAAGGAGAGAACTGACTTTCACTGGCTATCTTCTGGCCTCCACACCCGCACCTCATAAAGCACACAGCATACATACAAACACACACAAAAGTAAATAAAATATAAAAACAACCCTTTGGTAAGCATCCATTTTTGTGTCAGAACACCAGAATTAGTAGTTAAATTAGAATACCGGAAACAGGGCAGTAGATACTGCTCAAGGCTAGATCACTTGGCCAGCACACACCAGGCCTTAGGTTCAATCTCTGGCATTACAGAAACAAAACACAACACAGAAATGGTGTTTAGTTCGTGGCAGGCTCTCAATAAATGTTAGATTCCTCCTACCGACCCCTGCTGGCCACTGTGGGTCCTACAGTGTAAGTAGCCGCTGGATCATCGTCTTAGCACTGTCTCCCGGTGATGATTTCTAAAAATCAGCAGAGAAACTAATGATTTAATTTGAGCCCAGGAAAGCAGCCAGTAATAATCTCCAGCAGCATCCTTTCACCAAGGAAGTGCTTGAGACTTGGAAATCAATTGTACTTCGACCAAATTATAGTTTAATATAATTGGCCCTTGAACTTAATTTTTAGGTTGGGGATCTTGGGCTGTAACAGAAGTGAAACATCTGCCACCCGTACTGTGATATTGTTTGTGTTTGCTTGAGATTTCAAAGCCTAACTCTCAGAGTACAAGTTGTGTTTAATGGAAAATAGAACAGGTGGGGTTGTGTAAGGCTTGGGATGGGTTCCTTACGTGTCCCAATCTAGAAGCCTTGTTGCAGTACAGTGCCGAAGTAAAGGAAAATGTCCCTCTGTCCTCAGAGCCACGGTCCACTTTATGGTTTCCTTTTCCTTCTCTGTATCAGTCTTATGCAATCAGATCCTCTTTGACCATATAAAACACAGATTAAAACTAGCTCTGTAGCAATCCCAGGATTATGGGCTCAGGAGGGTTAATCTTGCCTGTTAAGATGACCGAACCTATGTCGTTCTGAGGAAAGCAGCTGTGGGAGGTAGTGCTGTGTTTGGGTTTGTATCTGGGTCTTACAAGATCAATTAAAAGGAGTGCCACTGTCCATTGTGCGTAAAGTACATGAGGACCTGTGACTGCAAAGCATGGTGGGCTGCAGGCAGCAGTGATTGTACCCAAATACTGCCTGGGGCCCTGGATTCAGCCTTGATCAACAGAGCATGGAGGTGGGAGTGACGCCCTAGGGACACTGGCCTCTATCTGAGTCTGCAGTATTGAATAAGTCAGAGGTCAGCTTATCCCTGAGTGTTAACCTAAAGCTAGGGATTTTGGAACATGCTCTGGGCCTGATCATGATATCTTAACCTTTCTCTCCTTCCTGGTATAGACTTCCCACTGTACCTCACGCTCTCAAGCTGCCTTATAGGGGTTAGAGGATAAGACTGATATGCCATCTTTCCCTTATCTCCACCTTTTATTTTCCAGCAACAGCTACAGGCCTATGTGGCCTGGGTGAATGCCCAGCTGAAGAAGAGGCCATCCGTGAAGCCTGTGCAGGACCTGCGACAGGATCTCCGAGATGGAGTGATCCTGGCCTATCTCATCGAGATTGTTGGTCAGTTGGCCTTGGACTCTGATGGTAGCGTAGACGAGAACTGACTTCTTTCTTCTCCATTCGTCCTTCGAAGCAGGTTGTTCCTTCTTTAGAACACACAGCAACAAAGTTGGGAAGACCTAAAATATTTGCCCAAGGTTAATTCACACATTGGTCAATAAACACTGTGTGTTAGGCACTGTGTTATAAGGGAAGTCGTTTACCCTGTCACTGCCCTCAAAGGTTTCCATTCTAATTGGAAAGACTGGAAAGTGAGGTCTGGTTTATTACTGTACTTAATATTCTGATGGAGGTAAGCAGAGGAGGATACATAGAAGAGATGCTCTGCCTTAGTCCTATTGGTTTAGGAATGGCAGACCAGAAGAACTAATGTTTAAATAGGGTAGGATGGATTCCAGAAGAACTGTCTAAATTAAAAACAGAACTGGTGGGGCTAGAGAGGTGGCTCAGCAGTTGAGGAAAGAGGTTGCTCTTGCAGAGGACCTGGGTTCAACTACCAGCATCCATGTGCCAGAGAGGGACAGGGACAGGGAGAGAGAGAGGAGAGAGGAGAGTGGAAAATGGAGAAAGAGAGAGAGAGAGAGGAGATGGAAAGAGAGGAGAGAGGGAGAGGGGGAGAGAGAGAGGAGAGGGAGAAGAACGGGAGAGAGATAGAGAGAGAGAGAGGTAGAGGGAGAGAGAAAGAGAAAGAGAGAACAAAAATAAAAACAGGAAAGGGAGTAGCATCCAGGCCAAAGAGAAAACTTCACCAACAAAAGGACTTCCCCCTATGACATTCAGATCCATGTGTTTTCATGGAAGGGATTTCCTCTCTAATTCCAGGTGCTGTTCTTATTAGGGTTCTATAGTATTATGTCTATAGTGTTTGTCTATAGCTTTCTAGGATTTCTCTCAGTGGCTGGCAATTAGTCATGGTATAGACTGAGCTATTGAAGAGAATGATACACTATTTTGTTTTCATGGATCCACAAACCCTGGTGCACAGAATAAGTTCTTGAATATTTATTATTGGTCAGTTGATGTTGCTTAGTGTCAAGAGGTGTGTGGTGTGGGAGAAGCTGGTTTGCAGCAGGCAGCCTATCTGTGAATACTTTTTTGAGATAGTTCATGATTGAGTATTCATTTGTAATGAGCATAAGTAGCAGGAGTAATTGCAGCTGCTAGGATGTAATGCGCTGTATCCTGTATGAATTTATTTGGCCATCACACCCTTAGGAAACATTATTATTCCCATTTTCAGGAAACAAAGAGGAAGATCTATAAAAATAAACAATGGATACTGAATAAGTGTATATATGTGCGTGTGTGTATGTGTGTATATAAAATAGCCATGTTTGTTACTTTGATTTATTTGGGATGTAGGTGTGAGCTCAGGCTGAGTATCTGTCATCCAAAATTCTTGGACCAAAAATGCTTCAGATGATGAATTAAAAAACAAACAAACAAACAACAAACAAAAACGAAACAGTTGACCACTTAAAACTAAGCATTGAGGAAAATCCAAATGCCCCTTCAAATCAGAAAATTTTTGATCACCTGTATGACACTTAAAATGTTTTAGATTTTTAGGCTGGAGAGGTGACTCAGCAGTTAGATCTTTGGTTGCTCTTTCTGGGGCCCAGGGTTTGAGTTCTGTGGTCTTTTGGAACTCATCATGGTGACTCACAACCATCTATTAGTAACTCCAGTTCTGAGCCCTCTGGTGACCTCTTCTGGCCTCCCTGGGCACCGGGTATGCACTGACATACTTACATACAGCCGTATTCATAAAATACTAACAATGTTTCAGATTTGGGGCATTTGATAGTTCAGAGCTTTAGATATGGATGATCGACCTGTACTGTTTTCCTGATGGAGTTTACGAGGCTCAGCAACTTCACAAGTTCACATAACTTTAAGCATCCAGGGAGAGGTGCAAACCTAGCTCTGTTTTACTTCCAGATTCCTGGCTGGAGAGGTGCTCAGCTACTAAGAGTATGTGTGCCGCTTCTGCCTCCCACCACCCAAGTAGGGTGGCTCACAGTCTTCTGTAACTCCAGCTCTGGGCCATCCCTCAGCTCTGGGCCATCCCTCTTCTGGTCTTCTGTACACACACACACACACACACACACACACACACACACACACACACCCCAATGTACACATGTGCACATAACCAAAAATAAAATGGAAAAAGAATCTCAAAGTCCATTTTAAGCATTTCTTTTTTCTTTATTTCAATAAGTTGCATGTGGAAGAGCAGAAAATGTAGGCACAAAAGAATTAAAGTAAAAAAAAAAAAGCCCTTCTTCTACCTGTATTTCTTTAACAGGTAATATTTTAATACTTGTGTTGTTTCCATGACAAAATACCCTGGGCAAAAGCAACTTAAAGAAGAAAAGGTTTAGACAGGTGAGGTGGTGCATGCCTGTGATCCCGGCCCTCTGGGGGGCAGAGGCAGGCAGATCTCTGTGAGTCTGAGTCCACAAAGTGAGTCCAGGACAGCCAAGGCTACACAGAGAAACCCTGTGTCAGAAAAAAAAGGGGGGGGCAAGTTTATTTTGGCTTCCTGTTTGAAGGTAGAGAAAAAGTGGTGACAGGGGTTTGAGGCAGCTGGTCAAGTTGCAGCCACATCCAAGAGAGAGCAGTGCATGCAGGCGTGCTCAGCTCACTTTCATGTGTCCAGGGCCCAAGCGCAGGGAATGCTGCTGACCATGTTTAGGGGTTCTTTCCTCAATTAACTTAATTAAGATTTTCTCTCACAGACATGGCCTAACCTAATAGGAATAGTCCCATAATGGAGAGACATGTCTCCTAGGTGATTGTATATCCTGTCAGGTTGATAGATAATCAGTGTTAGCCATCACAGTTACCTATCCACCATTCTGGCAGCCAGGGTTATTTCCAGAGATAGTCTATGGACATGGGAACAGTGTTAATATGTGTTTTTGTTTTTCCGAGATCCAGGTTTTAAACAGTGTGAGTATGTTTTTCTGGAAAATGAGTTAGCCTTGAACATGCTAGGCAAGCAGTTTTCAACTAACGCATATCTTCAGCCTGAAATAACCTCAACAGGGCTGAAGAGACGACTCAGTGATGGTTCATGCACAAGCATGAGGTTTGGAGTTTGAATCCCCAGTACTCATGTTTAAAAAGCCATGCATGGTAGTTGGGCACAATAGCACATGCCTGTAATCCCAGCACTCAGGAGACAGAGGCAGGTGGATCCCTTTGAGTTCAAGGACAGCCAGGTATACAAAGAGAAACCCTGTTTTGAAAAACCAAACAACAACAACAACAAAACAAAACAAAAGCTATGCATGATCACAAGTGTACCCATAACTCCAGCACTGTGTGGGGGTGGAGACAGGGGGATCACTGATACATGTTGACTGCCTCCCTAGCTCCAGGTAAACAAACAAACGAACCTGTTTGAAGGGAATAAAGTATGGTGGCAGAGCAGGATATCAGCTTCTTCCGTGCAACAGCCATGCACACCTATGTGTACACACACCACACACTTCATGTGCACTCACACATACATCAGAGAAAAGGGAGAGCGTCATACTCTCTCCCTAATTTTGTGTATGTAGCCTTCAGCTTTTCCTTGATTTCTAGACTTGCCCAGACAGCGTCCTGTTCACCGCTGTTGCTTGGATGCCTTACATACAGCTAATCAGAACTTTTTATTTCCTTACCTCCTCACCCACACCCATACTTTTTGTTTCTTTACCCTCCCTGCCTTGCTCACATCTTTGTCAAGGAGCACCTCCTGTTAACATTCTCTCACTTGTGAAGCAGAACACGGAAGTCATTCGTATTTTCTTCCCTTCCTGGATCACAGCCAGTTCTTAACATACACCTTCTGCTTTGTGTTCAAAATATGCTCAACATCTGACTTCTGGCCAGCCATTCTCTTCCACTTAAGCCCCCAACCATCCTTGTCTCTGGTCTCGAATGTTGCGACAACCATCCTGACAGCCATCATCTGTTTCGTCCCCTTCATGATCTGTATCTATTATATCTATGCCAGTCAACTTTGGAAACCACAAACTAGATAATGTCACTACCCTGTCTGGAAGTCCCCACTGGCTTTTCAATACCCTCAGAATAAAATTCTGGATTGTTCTTGTGTTCCACAAAGCCCTGTGTGACCAGCGTTGCTTACCTTTGTGGCCTCTCCTGGCTCTTGACTCTAATAACTGCACTCTAGTCACACTGGTCATTTCTTTCTTTCTTTGTTTATTTATTTATTTTCATGTAGCCCAGGCTGACCCAGAACTTGCTGTGTAGCATGGATAAGTTTGATTAACCTGATTTGGTTCCTGAACCTCTTGCCTCAGCCTCCCAACTAGTGAGGTCATAGGCATGTGACCTAGCTAGCCACACTGGTTGGTTTTTTTTTTTTTTTTTTTTTTGCTCCTCAGATAGTCTCTGCTAACCCCATGTTGGTGTCCGTCTGTATGGCTCTTTAGCCTGGCCTGGCACTTCTTAAATTCAGGCTTTGCAAAACTATATTATCAGAAAGGTCAGGATCACTACTTTTTCTCAGTCTTTATACTCAGATTACACTAAACAGTGACTTGTTATATTTTAGACATTCACGGGAGAAAGAGACTTTGTTTACTTTGTTCTCTGTTCTCTGTAGGGCCCAGAACAGTGTTTGGCACAGGGTGGCAACTCATGAATATTTATTGCATTAATAAATGTACGCAAATAACGTCACAAGATTATGGGTTTACATTTGAGAGACCAAAGGGTTGTGACAGTCTTTCATTTTTCTCTTCTCCACCACTTCCCCTGGTGCACACACCAGGACATAAGTCACGTATGTATAGAGATTCTTAGTGTTGGCATCCCCTCTCTTGTGTCTGACTGCTTTGAGACGATGATAAATTTCTCCCTTATGATGTTGGTGTTTTTCCCCCTCTCTTAACAGCAGGAGAAAAACTGAGTGGAGTACAGTTGAGTCCCAGTAACCAACAAGAGATGAAGAGTAACGTGGAGAGGGTTCTGCAGTTCGTGGCTTCCAAGAAGATCCGTATGCACCAGACCTCAGCCAAAGGTTAGTCAGTACCCTGTCCTCAGAAGAAATGCCCAGCTTCACCACTACAGACCAGTCTGAATGCTCCTTTGGCCATATGACCAGCGGTTCTGAGCAGACTGGAGTAGGATTAGCCCATGGCCTTGTACCCTTTTCTCATGAAGACAGAGGCACTCTTGGAAGGCAGTGATGGAGTACTGAAATCCCAGTGCTCCAGAGACCTGGCTAGAGGTAGAAGCTCTCCAGTAATTTGAATTGAATATATGTCTGCTTGAATGTGTGTGGGAAAATTAATGATACAAGAATAAATGTCAAAACTGAAACATTAGTTTTGGGATGTCTCGTTTAAATTATCAAGAATGAAGACAGATTGCATTTTTTTAGTTCTTTGGGTTTTGTGATCAAGTAGTATTTATAAACCGTCATAACTTACACTTTTCTATTCAATTTCCTAGAAGAAACTATCTCATTTCTTCTATTTTTCTTTATTTTCTGAGATAGGGTGTTATGTAGCCCAGGATGGTCATGAAACTGCTATGGAGCCAAGGATGACCTTGACCTTCTGATCCTGTAGCTTTTACCTCCTCAGTACTCAGGTTACAAAACTGCACCATCACCCAGCTAGTGCTGGGGACTGAACTCAAGGCTTGGTGAGTGCCAGGCAAGCAGTGAATCAACTGAGACACATCTCTAATGCCTCCCGGGCTTGAGACACACACACACACACACACACACACACACACACACACACACACACACACAGTGAGGCCATGTCTCAATTCCTGGCTGACCTGGAATTTGCTGTATCTTAGGCTTTCCTCAACTTAGGTGTTTTTCCTGCCTCTGTATCTTAAGTTCTGGTGCTTAAGAGAGGTGTACCACACTTAGCTTAAAAGGAGATTATTTTATAGCATTTCTTTTTTCTTTTTTTGGCTGTGAGAGCATTCCATGCAGACAAAAGGGCCCTGCAGCCTTTATATGTAGCCTTCTGTAACGTTGTGACCCTTTGCCCATGCTGTAAGGAAGAAGCTACATAGGGGTCCTTAGAAAGCACAGGCTCCTTTCTCCTTTTGATGCCTTTATAGAACTGACTAGATCTGGCTGCGTTTCAGCAGCAGCTTTTGGGTCTGTTGTCTGTAGGTTGGTTTGCCGAGAGTGAGGGTGGGAGGAACGCTTTCATGTTGGGTTGTTGATGTTCTGCGTGTTTGAAGTTACTCAGGTGAGCAAATAGTGACCATTAAGAGCTTCTGGTAGAAGACATCAAATAATCCTTTGCATGCTTTGTACATTTGAAAGGCTATAAAGCCGAACAATGGAACTGTATTCATTTCCTTGCATTAACTTTAGCCAGAACTTTCAGAATGCATGTTCTCTCGTGTGTGTGTGTGTGTGTTCTTTCCTCTTTTTTTCTAGGGCAGAATTTAGAGTGCAGTGATAGCTTTTATCTGGTCCCCATGTGGAGTGGGCTTGGGGATCTGTCCCAGTAAAATGAACTATTTTAAGGGAACACTCCATTTGGGGCATCATTGTCTTTTACCTGAAGAGGCTCAGTGTTTCTTTCTTTTTTTAAATTTTATTTATTATATAGTGTTCTGCTTGCAGGTACACCTGTATGCCAGAAGAGGGCACCAGATCTCATTATAGATGGTTGTGAGCCACCATGTGGTTGCTGGGAATTGAATTTAGGACCTTTGGAAGGGCAGCCAGTGCTCTTAAGTTCTGAGCCATTTCTCCAGCCCTCAGTGTTTCTTAATAAGTCCTGCTGCACTGATTTCCCTCTCCCTTTAGCTTTCCATGCTACAGCTGGAGTGAACAGCTGGAGCACATATCATTGTGCTACCACTGTGCACCTGGAAGTCACCTGGGTAAAATCCAGCATCTTTCCTGGTTCCATACTTCCCAGCCTGTGATTTCCTTTCTTAGCTTTCTGTTCTCCTGCTGAGCTCTGGGGCTCTTGTCAGCTCTTTCACTTTCTCCACCATACTGCTGGACCATAGACATACACTGCATACCATATAAAAATTTAAATGCGTTCTAAGGCTACATTATAAACAGCAAGGGCTTAAAATAGTTTTAATAATACATTTTAACCCAGTATGACCATAACATGATCACTTTATCATCAACTCAATATTAAACATTACATTAAACAAAATATAAAATGTATTTTACATTTTATTTTATTTATTTTTATGTGTACAGGTATTTTGCCTGCATGTATGTCTGTGCATTATGTGTGTGCCTGGTGCTCTCAGAGTCCAGAAGATGGCATCAGATTCCCTGTGATTGGAGTTACAGATGCTTGCGAGCTGCCATGTGGGTGCTATGAACTGGACCTGGGTTCTCTGGAAAGAGTATCCAGCACTCTTAACCACTGAGCCATCTCTCTAGCCCCACATTCTATTTTTATACTGTCTGAGATCTTTTGCATTCCCGTGTGTGTGTGTGTGGGGGTATTACTTAACATTTAATTACATGTAATTGCAGTACTTTTTAAGAACACATTTCAGTTCAGAGTGGTGACATTTAAGTGCTCAGTAGCCACTTGGTCTGTAGCTCTCCTAATGGGCAAGATCACCCATTACACTCATCTCTGGGACTTTGAATGTACTTTTTCCTGGATTGTTCTTATCCCTTCTCTCCTATTAGCTAATGAAGCATCTCCCCTAACCCAGCCTCAATTGAGGGCTCACTTCCTCTAGCAATCCTTGACACCTCTAAGGTAACTCCCCATGAACTCCTAAAGACCCCTGTACCTCTAACCAATATAATTATCATACTTTACTGTCATTGCTTTGAAGCCTTCTGTGTACCCTTGTTCAACATGGCTTTATGAGAATGGAGACTTCCTGCCTGGTTTACTAGATCACAGTGTGTGTGTGTGTGTGTGTGTATGTATGTATGTATATATATATATATATATATATATATATATATATATATATATATATATATATACACATCACATTTATCCACAGCCTCTCCCTCCCTCTCAACACCTTTTGCTCTGTCTTGTCTTTAGACATTGTGGAAGGAAACCTGAAGTCCATCATGAGGCTGGTCCTTGCCTTGGCAGCTCACTTTAAACCTGGCTCTAGCCGGATGGTGAGCCAGGGGCGAGACTCCAAAGCCCCACTGCAGAGCCACCAACCACACTGTGCTACTGCTGTGGCCCAAGGAGCAGCCGCTGCTCTGGCTGATGTGTGCCATGACATGTCACGGTCAGGACGGGATGTCTTCCGGTATAGACAGAGGTAAAAATCTGGGGAGAGGAACTGGATTTTTCCCCCCCGGCATTTCTTTGCTTAGATAATTACAGTGCAAGTAGATGGAAACAGCAATCAAACAGCCCCACACTGCAGAAAAGATAACCAAATACAGTGGAGGAGGGAAATCTTAGTGAGAAAAGCTTGGCCTTTTTGTTTGTTTGTTTTGATGATGATGATGATACTGGCTAGTGAACCTAGTGCCTTACACAAACTAAGCAAGGGGGCAACTTTTATATCATGTATGCTCCTGCTGTCTTAGCTTTCCTAATAGCTCAGATTACAGGCCCAGAGCAGCAAGCCACACTAAGCCTTTTCTTTGGAGATATTTACTTTGCAGCTAGAAGAATGTAAGGAACCATGTGTGAAAGTTTGCTGTCATCCCCAAAAATTAAATAAATGAAGTTGGCACAATGTGCTTTCTTCATTGGGAGATATGTAGTCAGTCTGGGGGAGGCTGTATCCTGGGATGTATTCACAAAGCTAGTCTGCCTTGAAATTTCATGCTAGGAAGTGCTGTGAGGGTTGTGTAGTTGCTAAAGGAGAACATGACCCTGCGGTGTCACAGGCATTGCTAAAATTACTCGTTTTTGTGTTTGCCTTCTCTTCCAGGTTTTAGTGCCTTAGAAGAAAGCATTTTTACCTTTTTCACCTTCTAAATGCATGTATTCCCCCTCCCTCCCTCTTTTTATCTTTCCCTCTGTGTGTGTGTGTGTGTGTGTGTGTGTGTGTGTGTGTGTGTACAAGATCTTGCTATCTACATAGCCCAAACTCCTGGTCCTCCTGCCTTTACCTCCTGATGCTGGAGTGGTAGGTGTGTGCCAGGCTGCCCAGCCGCCTCACTCATTTCTTCCCTGTAGTGCACACTGAGTGGCAGGATATCTGTACTTGCAGAGCTGACCTGAGCTACATATCTAACACTGTCCTCTCTTCTGGCTCCCCATCCCACCCTCTCACCTTTAGGAACAGCAGCATGGATGAGGAGATCGAGAATCCATACTGGAGTGTGCGCGCACTTGTGCAGCAATACGAAGGGCAACAAAAGTCCCCGTCTGAGTCTAGCTGCTCCAGGTGAGTGTGTCTGACATTCTGTACCTTTACAGTCTTGGCAGAGAGCTGCTTGCTTTGGGGAGTCTAAGCTTCAAGTAGCAAGACAAAAGGGCACCTTTGGGGTTGAGTACTGTATGCCTCAAGGCTTGGATCTGGAAACCTGTGCGGTGGCAAGGGAGTAAAGAAAGGACAGATACTAAAGAAATGACCCACATGTACACCAAAAAGTTGGGGTCAAGGGGTGCTTGCACTCTGATGGAGAGGCACCACCTACTACATGCAACCTGGAACCTCAGTATTTATTAGGTACAACACAGAGGTGGAGAATGAGCTGGTCATGGTAGGTCTCTAAGTGAACAATCTCGGGCTGTAATCATTCAACATCCATGACCTGCTAGTTTGCCATGGGTCAACCATTAGTAAATACTCATACTTGCACACTGTCAACATTTGCACTCATACCAGGGGAAGACTTTACCAGTTCTGAGCCTGACCAATGTGGGGAAGGCTTTGCCTATTTCCCATGGGCCTGAGGCATTGGTCCTTGACATGACAGTGTCCATGTCAGTAGTATACATTCACTCAGGACTTTATCTGTTCTTCACATACTCACTCCTGGCTTCCTCAGCTCCCCACAGTTGGCGGGGTGTGCTGATTAGTGATAGAGTGCTTCCTATGCCAGAGGTCCTGGGTTCAACCCCTAGTATTGAAAAACAAGAAGCAGGCAGGCAGATCTCTGTGAGTTCGAGGCCAGCTTTGGTCTACAAAGCAAGTCCAGGACAGCCAAGGCTACACAGAGAAACCCTGTCTCAAAACACACACACAAACACACACACGATGACGACAACAACAACAAAGAAAAACAAAAAGCACCTAACCTCTTTTGCTTTCCTCAGTTTATGCTTGGCATTCAAGGACTAGCTCTCAGCACTGCCTGTGGTTTGTGGGTTGACAGAATTATGGAATACAGTGCTAGTGAATTTCCCATACACAGAAACTGCCGCATCCTAGTGACAATAGTTAGCTCTGACCACATGGGGCATGACTGGGACCTTCAGAGTCCAGCCCAGCCCAGTGTTTTTGTATCAGCTGCTAGTGTTTATGATAGCCAGCTCCCTGGCACTGCCCTGCAGGCTGAGTCTGATTCTTTAGTTACAGCCACAGAAGGCTGGAAAAAGCTCCCGACAAGAGAGAAAATTGTGCACAACTGTCTGACGCATTACTGTTTCCACATTCATTTATAGGACTGGGAATTGGGGCACATTAGTATGCATTTAAGTGGGCTGTGGGTGGGTGTGACTCTAGTAGAAGGGTGTCTGCTTCCCTTAGTGCCAAGTGCAGAGACCAGAACAGGACACTCTGCCCTAATAAGAGCCTGACCATGCCAAGTATAGTGGCAGGAAAAGATTACTCTCCCGGCTCATGGAGATTATGCCCCTATAATCACATCCCCAGCCTACTTGCTAACTTGATTTTGTTATTGAATTGTATTTCATGTATTCTCTAGTGATCTTTTCCCTTCTGCTCCAATCCAGCTTCCTCTGATCTGTTTAAGTCTAATTGTGACTTATGTGTATTTCCCATCTTCTTTTCTTCCTCCTGCTTTTTCCCTTCATACAGTCCCATCCTATTTTGCCAGACGGTTTGCTGATTTATTGAGATTCTGTGGAACTCTTTCCATCATCATATACACTGCTAACCTAGCTCAACTTTAAAGTGTTTATAGATAGAGTGTACCTTCTGTTTCTGAAATGGATTTATAACAAACAATTCATCATTAAACATTCAGTGTTTGGTATAGTACCTTTATAATTTTGTGTAAACCTCATCTCTGGTTAGAAGGCATTTTGACCTAAAGAAACTCTACCATGAAGCAGTAGGGGTGCTTTTAATGAGACTCTAAACCATTGCTTTTTTGCCTGTTGCTGAGACTGTCTATGGCTCAGTACAGAATCAAAGGCTGTTCTGTTGTAGAATGAGGTCTCTTGCTTCCTGCGTGCCTGCTGGCCTTTGGCTCTCCTGAGCCTGAGTGTGCCTGTCAATTAGAGAGGGGAAAAGAGTGAGTCTTCTAAGGGTGACTGCTTCCTTCCTCTAGGCAGGGCTCAGATTGCAGCTGGAGCTGTCAGATCAGTGTGAGGGACCCACCAGACATAAGGCTGTGTTGGGCTAATGGCCAACGGTTTGTAGATGTGTCGAAGAGGTGCAGATTTTCCCGTTTTCCTCTCCTTCCTGTTTTTTGCCATCCTCTGTGTCATGGGATAGTGTCAGCACTCTGCCTATTTCTTCGTTGATCCCTCAGGAAAGGAGAGAGCTTCTAGCAGGTTCTGTCATTTGCCCACTTCCTCCACTGCCTTACAGCCGTGTGACTCCTGAAAGACCAGGAATCTTGGAGATATTGCAGTTTTGGGTGGGGTGTAGCTTTGAATATAGAATAGACATTCTGTGGAGTCCCTTCCCCTGCGGGTTCTCAAGGATGCTCTGGCAAAGCTCTACTCTCCTGTTGCTCCACTAAACAGGCCAGCCTCTCACTGCACCCAAGCAGAACGATCCTTTAGTTAGGTGAGGGAGCGACACAGGAACCGCTAGAGGGAAAGGAAGGTGGGAGCAGCGGTCGTTTTGCAGGTTTACTGTTGCGGTGTATGTGTATGTGTATGAGCGCGCGCGTGCGTGTGCTTGTGCGCGGGAGCTACAGTGTCCCTCCTGCCTGCGTCTCCCAATCCTTGGAGAGCCGGGCTGAACTCCACGGGGTAGATCAGTCTTGAAGCCACGCGTCCACGGAGGGAGGGGTCAGAGAGGAGCAGCAACGTTTTCGTTGCTACGCTTCTCACCAGGACCATCAGACCCACGAGGTTCTGCCGCGGCGCCGCCCATCCCCCGTCGCTCCCGGGGCTCCGGTTGCCCTCCTCCCCGCCAGGTCTGGACCTTGCCCCTGGCCCCGGCCGCCACCCTTACCTCTCCTCCCAGAGCCGTCGGCTGCGCTTGGGCCGAAGCCCAGCGCTGCCTGGCGGCGTGTGACAGCCTGGGGAAAGGGGGGTGGTGGGGGGAAGTGGGGACGGGAGGGGGAGAGCAGGGAGGGATCTGGAGGCGGCGCCGAGCCGGAGCAGCACACGCCGGACTCCACTCGACGCTCAGCGGGAGCCGCGGGAGCCTCTTGCCCCGGGGGAGATGGGTTAAGATGCGGCTGCCCCGGAGGATGCTCGGAGCCGCGCGGCCGCAGGGACGGAGATGCAGCTGCCAGGAGTCGGCCGCGGGCGATGGGAGGAGGCTTCCGCCGGGGCTCGGCTGCGGAGTCTGAGCTGCCGGGACAGCGCGTTTCACCCCAGGGAGCATCTCGGTCCCCGGGGCCAGGACGCCCACCTCTGCCCTTCCTACTTCCTCCGGAGACCCGGGCGAACCGTTTCGCTGGCTGGCTGATCTCTGGAGTCGTTCTTCGAGCCGCGGCGCGGGGGGACATGCCAGGATTTAGGAGCGATGTGACTCTCAGCCTCCCACCTCACCCAGGGAAGCAGGCTTGCTGAAGCCAGAGCCAGGAGGGGACCATGGGAGGGACACAAGTCAAATGGTGAGATGCCACTTTGGCCGTTGAGGTGGGGAAATGAGGGGGAAACAGGGCTCGGACAGGGAACGTGGTTGGCGGGGGACAAGAGATGACTGGGGGCGCTATTCTGTGAGAACAGGCTGCTGGTCTGGGATTAGCACTACAAAATAGAGTGATTTTAGGAATTTGGAGCTGACTCGAGGCTCCACTTACAGATTCACTCTGTGTCTGCTAATGGAGGCACTTCGAGGGGCGATGAGACTTCACCTTTTCTTCTATTTTCCATTTAAAAATTTGATGTAAATATAATTTGGCAATATCTTTGTTGTGTTTTGCTGGTATGATAAATTCATATTGGTGAGATGCTAGATTAAGAGACGTATGTATAGGAGCTATTTATAATCAGCAGTTCTCTGCCTGGATTATTATAGTTTTCAGAGAAGATTATGATAAATAGGGATTATTCGTTTGTGAAGTATGACTTTTAAACTAGTTAGGGAGGAGCCCAAGTTTTACAATTAGTTAGCATGAAGATACTTTTCTTTGACCTGAGGCCGAGGATTAAAAGCTCCTTCCTCTTCCTGGTGGGTGTTACTGCTCTGACACATGCCTTGGGATTTTCCTGCCACCGAGGTCTTATCTCGGTGGCCTTACCCTGGCAGTCTCATTTCAAGAAAAAGAAATGTTGTTTTCCTTTGGCTGCTCTGCCACTCCCCCGGTGGGGTTGGATATCCAGACGTCCGCCTCCTTCTGCCCTTATATGGGAGGCAGCGCACTTGGAGGGGAGAGGTGGAACTGAGCATGCGTCTATGCTTTTAGGAAAGCTGTTTCTCAGCACGGTAGATCCCCACTGCGCCCTCCCTCCGGTTTGTCTCGCACATCCCTCCTGCGGTCCAGCCAGATGCAGGCAGTGGTGCTTGCTATCCGTAGCACCTTGTCAGCTGAGGAAGAGGAGCAGCTGACAAAGGCTTTGTGCACCCGGATTCCCAGTTTTGTAAGTGGTAAATGCTGGGGCCTGGGCACTCATAAATCTCTCTTTATCAAGGACGCAGTCCCTTTACATGAGAACCTTCCTGGCTGTGAATTCCTGTTGGCCTGGAGGTCAGATTGCCTACACAGTAAAATGGATAAGAGAGTTCTAGAAAACACTCGACATTTTTGAATACTACCTGCTACCCCTTCTCTCACTCGATTGATCTGTGCACCTACAGATGTGGTAAATGAGCTTACTTTGATCTGCAATGACCTGAAACTTTAATTTTTAAGAAAGAAGAGAACACAGTACCAATTGAGATAATTTCCACCACTTCAACTGTGGATACTGAGGACACACTGGCCCACAGGTTTTGAAGTCTGGCTCCTTCCACTGCGTTTGTCTCTAGTTTTTCTCTGGTTTCTGGGAAGAGGAAATGTTACCTCCTGCTTGTGGCTGTGAGGATTAGCCTGGGAGACTTCAGGGGCACATTAAGGGGGTCAGTGAGTCCTAGACACTGTCACTGTTGTCTGGGTGATGGATTTGGAAAGAATTCCTAAGAGGGGGCTGAGCCGTAGACTCCACAGACCCTGAGATTGTGTTAGTGTTGATGTTCTCATAGCATATCGAGGGGAAAGGGCTCCCCAGACTCCTCTATCCCTGAGAGATAATTAGCCTCACGTTCCCATCTTGGCTTGTCCATGAGAAGACGTAAAGTCTGCTTCCCTGAAAATCTGAACACTTTCTCCCAAATGCACATCAGAACAGGAATTAGTGAACGGTGTCTTGAGGTGATTCGCAACTATGTCAAACAAAAATTCTTTAGTAAAAGCTAATCAAGAAAACATTGACCCAGCAGCCACTAGCAGGGTTTTCTCCGTTTGTCCTATCACTCTTATTTTTTTAAATATTTTCATTATATGTGTATGACTGTTTTGTATGCATTCTATTTACACATGTACATACATGTCTCGTGCCTGTGAAGGGCCAAAGAGGGTGTCAGATCCCCTGGAACTGGAGTTACAGATAGTTGAAGGCCACCATGTTGGGGCTAGGAACTGAACCTTGGTCCTCTGAAAAAGCGGTAGGTGCTCTTACCCAGTAAGCCATTGTGCCAGCCCCCACTCTTATCATATCCTGGGTCCCCTGAGGATGAGTTCCTGGCCTTCTGCCCACCCGGCACTGCATGTACTCCAGCAGTCTCTACCTCCAAACTGTCCCCTGTCATACTCCTCTTGTGAGATTAGCTTAGGGATGCTGGAGAGACTCAGATTACTGGAGAGAAGATTTTGATCCAGCTCCACGAAACACAACCGTCATCCTCTGAACATGGGCCAGGAACTGATAGTGGTAGATAAACAAAAATTAAAACAATGACTTATTGCCTATTCTGGGAAACTATAATTTCAATCAGTTATACTTAAAGCTATATTATAGAGAAGACTCCCTAGCGTATTGGAGAGATGGCTCAGTGGTGAAGATTGCTTCCTGCTCTTCTGGAGATCCAAGTTCAGTTCCCAGCACCCACCTAGAATGGCTCACAACTACCTATAACTCCAGGTCCAGGGAACTCAGCACACCCTTCTTGTTTTTGCAGGCACCTACATTCACAGGCACACTTCCCACCACCGGACACCCCTGCCTGCATTCACATGCCCACACCCCGTACACACACACATCACACACCCCTGCCTGCATTTGCAGGAGCACCCCACCCCCTCACACGGACACGCTCACATATACGTAACTGAAAAATAAAATCTTTAAATGACATGAAAAACAAAAATACTCCCAAGAACTTTTTTTTTTTCATTTTTTCATGCAATGTTGATTTGTTCTAATTGTGAGCTGGGTATCATGTAAGGCATGGTGTAAAGAAGATGTCTCTGGGATGAACTGTGAACGCTGACTTCTGTATACCTGCTCATAATAATTGCTTCTCTTCTCTTTTGTTTGATCACAGTCTGACATCACCCAGTCCAATCCACAGTGCAAAGAGTGAATCCATTATAACCCAGTCAGAAGAGAAAGCCGATTTTGTGATTGTTCCCACCGAAGGAATAGAGAATAGAACAGGTACCATCTGCCTGCCTGTTTGGGTTGCTTCAGGGAAGGCTTTTAAAGCCTGAAGACTTCAGCAGCTCAGACTATCTACTTCTAAGCTTTCTGGCCTTGTCTGTCTTCACCGTCTGTGTCTGTAGGGTCAGGGTCAGCTCTAAAGGGCTCTAATGCCTTTGAGCCAATTAATGTAGTTGTCCTCTTACAGAATGCCCTTTCTGGTATTGAGCTGTCAGAAAAGCTCGAAGCAGCCTGGAGAAGCTGTCCCTTAGCTGGCTGCCTACGAATTAGGCAATGGCATTGAGGCAGTCAGAAGCCTTATTCGGGTAAATAGTTTTGTTATTCCCATTTTGTGAAGGTAGTTCTGGTGCTTTGCTGACTTAGGTTGGAGCCAGGAATACATAGTTTGAACCAAAATGCCCATGCCGCAGAGGAACAGGTCTTGGTATGAGGGCTACAGAAAGGACCACAGAGTTCTGTTTGCTTATCTTCTGAGTCTGTCTCGCTTATCTTTTTTTTTTTTTTTTTTTCTTCACCATCTACTTAAACATGAAAAGAAACATGGCTAAAGCAAAGTACCAGCACTGGGTTGAAGTCCGTAACGGTTACAATGAAACAGAACCCTGCAAAAGAAAAACCGAAATGGAATTCTTTACTCTGCATGCCCTCAAGCCCAAGCATTTGTACCAGTCAGTAGCCTGAGTGAGGTGCCGCACATCCTTAATTTCAGTACTCAGGAGATGGAGATGGATGGATCACAAAGCTGGGGCCAGCTAGACGACCTAAAGAGTTCCAGGCCAACCTGTGCTACATAGTGAGACCCTGTCGCAAAGGCCTGGAGTCACCCCCAGAATCAAATGCAAGGCTGTGGGGGGGGGGGACACGACTGAGTACCTGCACTGTAGGATACTGTTGGGTCCTTCCTGCTTTACTTACCTCTTTTAATCTTCACATTAACATGTTCAGTCCCACAGCTTAGAGGGTTACTATGCACCTCTTAGAAAAAGAGAAGCTTGCTCGAAGATCTCCCCCATTCCATAATGCACATGAAATGGCGATGCATGCTGTTTGCACGAAGCAGACAAGGACACCAGAGCAAAGAGGTCTTAAGGACAAGGACATAAGTTCTTGTAATATTAAGGTTTTGGGAGGACACTTTACTAATTTTCTTTCAGGATGACTCACATGACGTGTGAAAAGGGCTCAGTTAGGCTCAAGGGGGTGAAAGGAATGTGTTTGTCTTAGTTAGGGTTTCTGTTGCTGTGATAAAAACAAGCAGACAAAACATCACTACCAAAAGTGATTTGGGAGGAAAGGGTTACTTTAGGTCAGAGGTATAGTTCCTTTTGAGGGTTTGCCAAGGCAGGCGGTCTGGTGGGAAACAGGAGGCAAGAGCTGAAGCAGATTCGGTGGAGACACATAGCTCACTGGTTTGCTCCGTTTGTTTCCTTTTACCTCCCAGGCCCAAAACTGCCCAGGTGTGGTACACCCACGATGGCCTGGGCCAGTTCACACCAATCATTAATCAGGAAAACCGCCCTACAGGTTTGCCTACAGGCAATCTGACGGAGGCGGTTTTCTCATTTGTGATCCTCTTCCCAGGTGTTTCTGGGTTTGTGTCAAGTTAATGAAAAACAACCAGCCCCGTGCTGAACTAGCATTCTGTCTGAAGCTTCAGAGTCACCAAAAGGACTTTTGTTTCTATTTGCATTAGACAGTTCCTTTACTTACAAATGGGACTCTGGGATGTCGATTCCAGAGTTGGCAGTTTGTATGCCTTAATGGGTCTCAGTGGCAGGAGCCCTGCTACTTCCTGGGGGATCACAGGGATGGACTTTCCTCACAGAGCTTGTGTGTTCCCAGCCCCGTACCCCAGTTAACAGCCTGTTCTTTGTGCCTCACAACCCCACCTAGTGGAGAGCCCAGTGTATCTGTGCGAACAGGTTTGGAAGGCAGGTGACCTAAACCTGTGAAGTGCGTTGAGCCGGGTCTGCCGGAAATCGCTCTTCCTCAACATGGACTGTGCTCCCACCTTTCATTTTGCAGATGAGACAGACTCTCCATTATCCCGAGACTGGCGGCCTGGGAGCCCAGGAGCCTATCTGGAAGCTACATGGGAAGAACAGTTGTTGGAGCAGCAAGAACATTTAGAAAGAGAAATGGAGGAAGCAAAGAAAATGATTTCAGGACTCCAGGTAACTCTTTCCTTTACAGTTTGTTTTTGGTGCCCTAGTTAATTATTCCTTTTAAGTTGTAAGTGGTAACATTTGGCAAAGAAACAAAAACCCACCTGATTTTAATTGTGTGCGAGTATTGACTGAGAGTGAAAATTCCGTATTTGTGAATGTTTTAAGTGGACTTTGAGCCTGTTGTTTAAAGCCCAGCTGTTAGGACTGTGCGCACAGAAGCTCTGGCTGACCCCTGCTTTGTAGGTAGGTGTCTTTTATGCACGCACAAACCTGCAGTTGCAACGTCTAGCAAAAACGGTCTCTCAGGAGTTCTGCAGCAGAAAGGTGCAAGAGGCAGTAATGCCACCAGGTTTCCAGCCGAGTCCAGCTGAGGGACTTGGCTCCCTCCTAATGCACCAGCAACTGATGCCAAGGCAAGTGCTCTGGTGGGAGAGGGTTTCCTTGAACAACAAAGCCTTTCAGTTGTTCCTATACCTGTGCTATCAGCTGGGGAAATCTCCCCCCAGAGATTGGCTGACCCACTTGACATAGAGTCCACCCCAAAACCCCCTCGCTCCTGTGTCCTTATTCGATTGACTCTGGAGGAGCCCCTGTAGTGTGCTGATGACCCTGAAATTGCCTAGGAATATCCCATTCTGTTTGTGCTGGGAACTGCACTGGTTTTGAATTGTGAAATATTTATGGACACATAAACAAAGCCCACATTATGTGTGAGCCTCTGGCAGGCCGTGCAAGGCATGCTCCCAGCCAGCCCGCAACAGGGTGGGGACACAAAGGGTTCCTAAAGAAGAAAGGAGATTGGTGCTTTGGTAAAACAGTTTGCATAATGTATGCCCCAGGAACCTAGAGCAATTGGAGGAAGGTTTACATCCCAAACACTCCCAAAGAAAGTTTGGGGTGTGTGCAACTTGCTATGTTTGAAAAAAAAAAAAAAAAAAAAGAGTCCTGTTCGATTCCTTTCACCACTCCAGTAAAGAATACCTTAATGATTTTTCTTTTATGTATTTTGCATTAATTAATTTATTTGATCACTTTACAGCCCAGCTGAAGCCCCCTCCCTTTGTTGTTGTTATAATAGGAAGTGTTCCATGAATTTGAGGGTGGGAGGGTTACCTAACCAGATTTTTTTCCCCCATGATAATTTTCAATGTTTGAATAAGGTCTGGGTAACTATCAGTTTAGCTGTTTGATTTGTGTTCCTTAATCTGGGGGAAATTCAATGAAACAGAAAAATTAAAAAGAAAGAAAGAACGTTGATAGGCAGAAAAGCAACATCCTAACGTTTCCTTCCAATGGAGGAGTTTTAATTCACTGCCACGAGATGACTGAAGATTCAGTCTCAGCTGAAGAGCAAAGGGGCTCAAGGCTTCCAGCACCCTCCTCAGCTGTTTCTGTAAAGAACAAGTTGTATGTCAAGCCACATCCAGTATTTGTGACTTATTCATTGTGACTTGCCGTAATTAGAGACCATTGAGCAGCCTGCCACTGGGGTTACTATTTTTGCTATGGCTGTTTCTGCAATTCCCTTAACCCTGGGGCTGTGTGCCTGCCCACCCATCCCTCCTCACCATAACTCCATGGAAAAACCAAGCTCATTTGATTTTCTGAAACATTATTACTGTGCTTAGTAGAGGACCATTAGCTGGATTTTAAACATTCTCCATTAACACGTATGATGAATTGGTGTTATATTTATTAAAACAGGGTTTATTTAACCTCTGAAGCTGTCTTTCAAGTTGAAACAAAATTGTGACAAAATAAGAACAGAATTTCCCATCTTTATCTCACCTGATACATCTCATAATACCTACCTGAACAGGCAGATCTAAATTTGGGGCCCTAAACTATATCAGGATGCCACTTTAAGGATAAGCTCCCGAGGATGGTGAGATGGCTCAGCAGGCAGAGCCATGGGGTGCCAAGACTGAGAACCCACATGTGGAAGGAGAGAACCAACTCGTGGAAGCTGTCCCCGACCTCCCCATGCACACCACGCACATACGCACATTCGAAAGATGGCTCAGCTCTTAAGAACATGTACTGCTCTTATAAAAGACCAGAGTTCGTGTCCCAGCACCCATGTCAGACTGTAACTCCATCTCTAGGCTATCCAGCATCCTCTTCTGGTCTCTGTGCACTGAACTCATGTGCACAAACACATACAGAGACATTAAAAATCAGAATAAACTTTATTGGAACAAGGTGTTGCATGGAAGCAGAGGCAGATAGATCTCTATGAGTTTAAAGCCAGCTTAGACTACGTAGTGAATTCTAGAGGAGCCAGGGCTACATAGTGAAGCCCTATCTCAATCAATCAATAATAAAAGTAAGTTTCAAAATAAATTTTGAAGTGAAGGAACGAGATGACAAGCTATTACTATAATATTAGGCATGGGTTTCTGGGAGAAGAAGTGTACTAGGGCCCCGGAAGCGAGCTTCCAGCTTCCGGGTGTATCTGCTCCTTTTTCTACTTACTAATACTCTAATGAAAATATCCTGGAGTTGCAGTGAATGAGGACATCTCCGATTTTTCTTTCTTCTATTTATGTTGCCTTGGGGTGAAAATGCAGAATTCTTAAAACAAACAAACAAAACCCAACTAGTCCCAAGGCCATGTTTTTGATAGATTTCAAACAGATCATTGTAATATACATCTCTGAGCCAGGATAATTCCACGCTGATTTTCGATCCCCCTTCAGCTGGCAGAGCTGTGTTTGAACAGCTCTAGTTTGAAATGTGTTTGGACATTTCTGAAGGGGAGGTTTGTTATTAGGTCTTCTGAGACCAAGACTCCTTAGGGCTGAGGGCCCATGTGTATCCAGAGGGATGAAAGCAGCCCCTGCAGCTGGGCATGTAATTCAGTTGGTAGTGCCTTCCTAGCCTTCGTGGAATTCTGGGTCTGAGCCTCATGAGAGGTAGGGACAGGAGGGCCAGAAGTTCAAAGCCATCCTCTGCTGTTCTAGGATAGTTTGGGATAAATGAGACTCTGTTTTCAAATTGGGGAGAGGGACCTAGAGAAGGAGCCTTGTGCGGTCAGGGCCATTGGAAATAAGCAGAGGTTATTTATCATCTACCTTACTTCAGAAACATGTTGGTGTTATCTGATGATCTCTGTCTGTGGTGAACTTACCAAGCCCTGACTCCAGGCTGGATCAGGTGGCAGGGGGTTCAGTTTCTACCTCTTTGTGGTTTATCTAGGCCTTATTGCTCAATGGATCATTACCCGAAGACGAACAGGAAAGACCCTTGGCCCTCTGCGAACCCGGAGTCAACCCAGAGGAACAGCTGGTAAGCTCCATGCCCATGACTGGGCTCTAGACCAGGCTTGTTCTCACACTTGACCTCACCTTCTTGAAAGACTCTTTCCTGACTCTCGGAGTTTCTCTGCCACCTTTACTTACTCTTTCCTGGTTTCTTTCTTGATTTAATCAACAGATGTCCAGCAAATGCTGACTCTCTGAGTCAGACACAGGTCCACGGTACTAGAGCTATAGTAATGACCAAAGCCGCCCAGGGTGCTAATCCCCTTCAGGGTTTATGTTCGGGTCCCCCAAAGCTTTTTTTTTCCCTCTCTCTGTGTCATGATGTGGGTGCTCTTCACGGGGGTCCTCATCAGTCTCACACAGTCGCGGGGCTGTGTCATCTGCCCTGCATGTCATCACTCTGCACCTGCTTCTCTAGTCTCCCCCACAGAGCTGTAGAGCTATTCAATCATGGTCTTCGTTATCAAGTGCCAGGTACAGAGCTCAACGCCAGTAGGTCCTCAACCAAGTATTTCTGTCCTCCACATAACCACTGACTCTATTTGTCCTTCTATACGTGTGTTCATATCCACCCCTTTACTCAGATGCCCCGAACAGAAACCTGGATGCCGTCCCTGAAGGCTTTCTGATCGTCCCTTCATATCCAGTATCTTCATCTTCACACCCAATGCTTCATTTGGGCCTTCATGCAGCGTCCTAGCAGCCTCCAGACAGATTGCTCTGAATCTAGATTCCTCTTCTAACCTTTCTACTTCATTTTCAGTAAAATTGCAAGAATAGCTTAAGGATCATTTTATTTTGTGTTCCCATTGTATAAAGTTTTTTATTGCTGGAGTTTAGTTTCCAGTGCCCATGTCACGTGGCTCCCTGCAGTTCTAGGGGATCTTTTCTGGCCTCTGGCCCGCAAGGCTACTGCAGTCACATGCACATACCCATAGGCAGACACACACAGGTACACACAATGATAAATAATAACAATAAATACTTTTTAAAAACCAAAAGAAAACTTTGTATTAATTCCTCATTGTCTTCATTGGCCCTTCATGGTCTGGCTCCCAGTTTCCTTTTGAACCTTATCTCTTCTTCCCTTGACTCCATCTGCTTCTCCCAGTACACACATACTTACTCTAAACTTCATCCATAATTGTCTTATGCCATGTATTTTGTACATATGCCTGCACCAAGAAGGCATGTGTTCACAGTACAGAAGTGGTTTCTAGTAGGTGCTCAACAAGCATCTGTTGAATGAATGGCCTATGACCGTTAGTACAGGTGCGTGACCATCTCTGTCTTATATTCAGATTATAATCCGAAGCCGTCTGGATCAGAGTATGGAGGAGAATCAAGACCTTAAGGTACGATTGGACATGTACATGTTCTCCTTTGAAAATAATTTTGGGAATGTAATGTGCCATCTTTGGGACAGTTCTGGAGAGAGAAAGGGATACAGTGCTGGGGGCTAGCAGAATATTATGTGTCATGCCTTTCTTTGGAGGAGAGAGACACATCTGAACTGTGTCTGATGGTGTCTGTGCCCTCTATGGGCACCATTCTGGAACTTTGAAGTATTTCTGGGTTTTTTTTATTTTGTTTTGTTTTGTTTTTTTAATTGAGAGAAAAAGATGAGTCTAGACTGGGCATGGTCATATATAAATTAGAGTCTAGCCTGGTCTATATACTGAATTCCAGGCCAACCAGAAAAACATAGCGCCTGCCTCAAAAACAGGGAAATTATCTAATATTAGTGTGGTTCTTATTCATGAATATTTTCCAGAGTTCTTATAGATCAGTGGTAGAGCATTGTAACTGAGCACATTCCCCTCCTCCCTGAAATATGCTTGTGTGCATGCACACACACTCAGACCTGCATTTTTGGTAAATTTGGAGCCCGTGTGTTGGGAGGCCAGGTCTAGGACCCCATCTTAGATAAGCTAATTATGAATCATTTATGTGACATAATCACAAGAGACCCAAGTCTCAGTAACAGGCATTGCTTTTCTAAAACCTAAAATTCGTTTTTGTTTGGACCACAAAGAACAATAGCTCCAGTCCACAAAAAAAGAAACAATAGCCCTTTGGAGAGTCAGAAGCTTGCCAGCCCTTTGCTGCAGTTAAATGAAATCGAAATAACTATTCAGCAGCAGCAAAGACAGGCCCATCATGGATCTGAGACAGAGACAGGGTAGTTATATTTTTCTGTTAGTGAAGTTTACTGCATGTAGAGCCAGTGGTCTGGATGGCGTATCTTCTTTCTACCTGGGCATCTCTGTGGTGGGTGTAGAGAGAACAGAGGGTCAGTCTTTACTGCTTACAGGACCACATCTGCTTTGTGCCTCAGCTGATGGGTTAATCTTCATGGAATGGTCAACTGGGTTTTGTCTTCTTGCTGACAGAATGAGGTAATCAGATGCCACCATCTGATCTCACTATATTTGGTTTGTAGAAAGAGCTGCTGAAGTGCAAACAGGAAGCCAGAAACTTACAAGGGATAAAGGTAAAAGGAAGACATTGAATTCTTGCTTTCTTTTTAATTTTGCTTTTGGTCAGCCTCTGTGAGGTAAAGTGGTCTGTTGGTGAGTGTTGAGAACCTGGAACTTGTGGGACTATTGGGATTTTGCTGTCTCTGACAGGATTGGAGCTAGGCGTCTAGAAAGAGCTGTGTGGTGGGCAGCAAGAAATGCTGAGGGAGATGTCTTTGTTTTGCTGAGGCTTCTGTCGCATGGTTGTGACTCATGATGCTGTCACTTGCCTGCGTCTATGCCACCTTAATTTTCTCTATGTGAAAGCACTCTCTCAGTTCATAAGTATGCCCTTTTTAGGAAAAATGAAAAAGGAACAGCGTTTGAGTGGTTAATAACATTAACACAAAAGGATAAACCATGAAAGTTCTCCCACCAGCTCTGTCTCACCCCACTCCATCCCACCCCACTGCCACAACAGTTTTCTCCCCTGAGGCAACTTATCAGTTATTCAGTGTGTCTATATCATTTTTCCCCACTTTTCAACCCACATAATAGGATACTGCAAATACAGCTTGACATTTGCTTCCTTCACTTAGCCGTGAGTTTGGGAGATTATTCTATTTTAGTAAAGATGATTTTTAGGTCTTCTTTGTACTTGCATAATGCTCTTTTTACATTTTTTATGTGTATGGATATTTTGTCTGCATGCAAATCTGCACCACTCCTGGTAACCAAGGAGGGCCAGAAGAGAGTGTTGGATTACCCTGGAATGGAGTTACCTATGGTGTGACCCTCCGTGTGGGTGCTGGGAATTGAACTCGGGACCTCTAGAAGAGCAGACAGTGCTCTTACTGACTAGGTCATCTCTTTAGCCCCTCTAATAATCTTGTGCATATATATGTGTGCATACATGTATATAGTCATTTTCTGTTGGCATTTTAGACTAGCTACTTTGGGGGAGCTGTTTTGCTGGTATATACAGTGCTTGAGCTAATAACCTTGAACATATGTTATTCACCCAAATGGGATTATAACATCTGAGCATTCATCTATTGTTCCTACTGTTCCCCTCTGTCTTGCACACACCTTAATTGACTACCCAAAACTAACTCAGTAACATTTTCCAAAGCATGTTTAGTAACCTCAGTGCATTGAAGTATTCTAAAACAGAAATGTGCTCTTTGGCTAATGAAGTTTAAGAAATTCCTGATAGGCTTAAAACACATTGAAAGATCTCAGAAGGGGTCAGGTGTGATGGTGCATGCCTTTAATCCCAGCACTCAGGAGACAGAGGTAGATGGATCATTGTGAGTTCAAGGCCAGCCTGGTCTAAAAGTGAGTCCAGGACAGCCAAGAGTACACAGAGAAACCCTGTCTTAAGAAAACAAAAAGTATATCATAAAGAGACTAAAGAGACTGGCTTTGATATTTCTCAGTGGGTAAGAGATGATACTGCTTTTACAGAGGACCTGAACTCCACAGACAGACACACACACACACACACACACACACACACACACACACACAATTCCCCCCTCCCGAATAAAAAGAAAAGATTTGAAAACTAAAACTGCTGCCCTGGAGAAACACTTAGGCACAGAGCACAGAAGCTCCTTGTTCCCTAAGTCATTCACTAATCTGTCCGAGGGCATGCACTTTGGAAATGTGCCAGGCTAAAGTGCTTGGGACTTTTCAGATGGCCTCTGCCATGTCCTGTCCTGTCAGCTGGAGGTCTGGTATACACCTGTGATCCTACCATCTTGGAGGCTGAGGTAAGAGGATCATGAGTTCAAGGACTGATGTCCTACCTAGAACAGCACTTCTCAATCTGTGGGAATTTTCACAGGGCTGAGTATCATATATCCTGCATATCAGATGTGTACATTACTATAGTTATGAAGTAGCAACAAAAATAATTTCATGGCCAGAGGTCACCACAACATGAGGGACCTCATTAAAGGGTCACAGCATCGTAGGAAAGTTGAGAACCACTACTCTAGGATTTGGGGACTGGCCAGAGAAAGGAAGAAAAGGTGCTAAGTCAGGTGGAGTATTTATATACCCAAGAGGTAGAGGTGGAAACCAGGAGGGATCACACTGTTCAAGGCCAATGTCCTCTGAGTAGGAAGTTATGGATGTTTAACAGGAGTCTAGGTCTGTCGATCTCAGAAGGTCTTTTCTCTTTGTCTCATGTGGACACCAAAATGCCAGGAATGTGTGTAGGGTAGGGATGAGTGTTAGGTGAGGGAAAACCAGTTTCTCTTGGTAGGACAATGGATGTGATTCCCCTGTAGATGATGGTGTCTTGGAAGAGGAGAGAAAAATCTCTACCCACGTCCTTGTAGTAAGGTCCTTGTCATTCCCTCTTCTCCCAGTTTGCCAGAACTAATGCTAGATACAGAGTGAAAGGGGGTCAGTAAGAAGTTTTGTCTGGCTGGTGGTGGATTGAGGCTGTAATAGTGGATGTTCATATTCTCCCAGGATGCCTTGCAGCAGAGGTTGACTCAGCAGGACACATCTGTCCTTCAGCTCAAGCAAGAGCTTCTGAGGGCAAATATGGACAAGGATGAGCTGCACAACCAGAATGTGAGTTAAATGTGCGAACTCTGACCTCATTAGTCAAGCAGGATGGTACACAAAGTTCCGTTCAATCTGCCCTTTTTATCTCCCCTATTTTGTCCTGGGGTGCCTACCTTTCATGTCTGTAGTTATTTTTATCCCCTTAAGACTCATTTCTGGTCTTGGGTCACAGCACCTAAGCCTACAGAACCCTGCATGGTCCTTGGCTCTGCTTGGAGAACACTAGGGCCAAACTGTGCTTGTACAGTCTGCTTATTTTGTTAAAGACACGAAGAGCTGGCATGTTTTTATCATGGCCTGCCCTCTCTGTGCGGTATACTGTAACTGTCTGTGAATTCATAGTTACCAAGTGGCTGGTTTCCCTGGGGGGGTTTTACATAATGCCTCCACGCCACTGAATTCTTTCTTGCCTTTGTAGGTGGATCTGCAGAGGAAGCTAGAGGACAGGAACCGGCTCTTAGGCGAATATAAAGTAAGAAAAGCCTCCAGGTGACTTTTTGTTAGCTGGTGCTCAAAGAGCACTTTTGTATTCCACTCTATCTTTGCTGTCTGGTAGGAAATCTTTCCGATAGCTCTGAAGCATGGATGGCCTAGCACAGAAGCCTGGCAACAGTTAGTGGCAGGCTCATCTCCCTCTCAGTAGTGAGGAAAGCCCGTAGAGGCCCTCTGACAGGCAGTTTGCAAACTCTTTGCCTTTCTAAGAATCCCAGCACCATGTAAGACTGTCATGGTGTGGAAAGCCTTCCGGGTACAGAGTGAAGGAAGCCTGGGTCCATGAGGCTCTTTAAGTTGGATTACAGAGTACGAAGCTCTTGATATCCTTGTGTTTGCCACACCTCTGAAAGCTTGTCTCCATTGCAGAAAGAGCTGGGACAGAAGGACCGCCTCTTGCAGCAGCAGCAGGCCAAGTTGGAAGAAGCGCTTCGCAAACTCTCAGATGCCAGTCACCAGCAGGTCAGGACGCATCAGCCGCTTGCCTACCTGGCCCCTTGGCCTGAAGGAAACACTTTCCTGATTTGATCTGTTTTCAGGTGGATCTAGAATGGGAGCTAGAGCATAAAGAGGTTCTTCTGGCTCACTGCATGAAAGGAGAGGCAGATGAGGTAACCCAGAACACTAGGACCCTCCATAGAGACGGTATGGAGTGCAGGCAGGCTCTGGGGCCTAGGTGTGTGGCTCAGCAGAGCACTTGCCTAATGTGATGAGAGTTCCAGGTTTACTCTCCAGCACCAGGGGGACAGAGTTGGGATGGTACTTAGCTTCAACACTTAGAAATGAAATATGAAATAACTGTGACTCTTTCTGTTGTAATAAAGAGTTGAACTGTGTAAGCAACTGACTACAGACTTACTCAATCCATCCAGCAGAGTTGGATTTGAGATACATGTGTTCTTGCATTCTGTGATTACTTAAAGCAAAGCAAAGGGTGCTAGAGTGGTCATGGGCTTCCACGCCAAGGTTTCCATTTCATTTATTCTGCATTCACAGTGCCCACTAAGTGTCAACTGCAGCCTCGCTATAGCCGTGGGGAATAAGGAGACCACATCCCCTCCCATAACACTAAAACATTTTTATTTGTGTGTGTGTGCATGCACATATACCATTTCTCATCTTCAGCCTGGCTGAGGCAGGGTCTGTCCTCGTTTCCATTATTCTGCTGCATACTCTGGGCCAGTTGGCACATGAGCTTCTGGGTAATCGTGTCTCTAACTCCCACCTCACTGTGGAAGTGTAAGGCTTACCTGTATACATTATTTCATCTGGCTTTTTACGTGGGTTCTCGGGTTTGTGTGGCCAACACGATGACTCGCTGCGCCACGTTTACCCTGGGCCTCCACATAACGCTTTTAACACAAGCAGCAGACTGATAAGTGATTCACTACGTGCTGCATCAGAAAGTGAGCAATGTAAAGAGAAAAGTGTCTTGGTTTGGAATTCTCCTGTTAACAGCCGCCGTTTCTTCTTGATGCTCTAGATGACCAACTACAACAGTCACAGCTCTCAGCGCAATGGCTTTGTCCTTCCAGTGGCAGGGAGAGGTGCCGCAACTGTCACCCACAGAGGGGTAGGTTCCTAGCCCTGGAGAACAAGCTGAAGTGAGTGATGCCCCAGCCATCACCACCAGGCTAAGCTTGAATATTCCAGGTCTTTGATTCTTGACAACTGATGGGTTTATACATATGCAAGGCATTCAGTATTCAAGATTTAAAAATCAATTAAAAAAAATTAAGACTTAATTAGCCAGTTGTGGTGACACACCCCTAGAATCCCAGCACTCAGGGAGGCAGAGACAGGTGGATCTCTTTGAGTTTGAGGCCAGCCTGGCCTACAAAGCGAGTCTAGGACAGCCAAGGCTACACAGAGAAACCCCGTCTGGAAAAAAAACAAAGCAAAACACAAAGACAACAAAATAAAACAAAACAAAAAGCATTAACTAGTGGGCAAACAGAAGGTACTTGAGGAGGTAGATTTTCCTCCACAGAACTCAAGCCTGTATCCTAGGAACTTTTTGTTTAATCCCCTTTACCTCAGTGCTTGGGTGAAAATATGGCATTGCACCCATGCCACCAGGACTTTCCTTTCAGCCACAGACCAGTGACCTCCAGCTCGTCCGAGATGCTCTCCGCAGCCTGCGCAACAGCTTCAGTGGCCATGATCCTCAGCACCACACCATCGACAGCTTGGAGCAGGGCATCTCCAGTCTCATGGAGCGGCTGCATGTCATGGAGACACAGAAGAAACAGGAAAGGAAGGTAATGCTGCGATGTCTGGCTTAGGAGAGCTCCTGAGGCAGCCTGTTCTGACAAGTCTCCTTTACATGAAGGAAAACAGGACCCTACTGAGGGCTTCAGTTGGGCTTCTGTCCCAATGGAGCTGGCGGTTAGACGTGGTATGACAGTCCAGGGAAGGAATGTGTGGTAACTTGTGTTCAGCAGCCCTGTAGCTTTGTAAGGAATTGTGGTTCTTGAGTCCCCGGGATCCCTGCTGCTTATTCTCTTCCCCATCCCCAGGAAGAGCTGCCTCTGGATGAGGAAACAGGTGGGAAGTGCACTGGAGATGAGAGAGCCTGTCATAGCTGTGCTCGCTGTTAAGACAAATATGTCACATTTCGTATGTCGTAGAACAAGATATAATTAACGTTTCCTTTGTGTTTTAAATTTCATGAGTAAATTCTTCCCTTGATCATAAATAACTCTTGACATCTTTGTGGCTTTCCAGGTTCGAGGAAGGTCACCCAGAACTCAAGCAAGTAGTGAATACCGGGCATCCTGGCCCCCTAATTCAAGTAAGTCTCATTTTCATAAAGTGTCTAGAATGTTAGAACAGAAAATGTTTCTTTTTCTCTTTTGTTTTTTGTTTCTCTTTTGGTAGGGCGCAGAGTCCCTTTCTCACATAGGGGTAAAGGTTCCATGGAGACATCAGCTTGCCTTCTCCATGCTCACTGTGCGGGTTGTCTTCAGCATTGGGGCCTTCCCATTGGTTTGTGGAGAGCCACCTGTAGACTCTGTCACAGCCTGGGTTGTTTGGGGATTCCCCTGGGACCCCTTTGGCCAACAACTCAGATGTAACCCAGTCCTGGTAATGGAAACTTCATTTGTTGACAAGAGATATCCAGTTGGGGCTCTGTCTCCCCATTATTTGGAAATTTCATTTAAATTACCTTAATATATGTATATATTTTAGGAAGATTTTTTTTTAATATCAGGTTTCCGTACTACCCCTCAAGTGGCCCTTAATTATAGCTGTCTCTCCTTGTATTCGTCCCGTGTCCTTCTCTCCCCATTCCATCTCCCTGCACCCATCCATAACTGTCTATTCTATTTACCTTTCCTAAGGTGATCTATCTGTCCCCTCAAGTCCCTTACTCTGTACCCAACCTCTGTATTGTAGCTTGGTTATCATTGACTTAACAGCTAATATAAACATATAAGTGAATACACATTGTACTTGTCTTTCTGGGCCTGGGGTACCTTCTTCTAGCTCCCTCCATTTACCTACAAATGTCATGATTTCACTCTTTTTAAAGGCTGAACAATATTTCATCATGTAACTGTACCACATTTTAAAAATCCATTCTTCTGTTGAGGGGCACCTAGGTTGATTCCAGCTTCTGTCTGCTATGAATAGAAAAACAATGACATGGTTAATCAGCCGTTTGTGGGAGGATGGAGTGTCCTTTGGGTATATGCCCACAAGTGGTATAGCTGAATCTGGAGGTAGATGGGTTCCCACCTCCCGAGGCACTGTCACACTGATTACCATTGTGTCTGTCCAAGTTTGCACTCCCACCATCCATGGATGAGTGTTTCCGGTACTCTACACCCTCACTGCCACTTGTTTTATTCATCTTAACTATTCTGATGGATGTAAGATGAAATCTCAAAGTTTAGTTTTAATTTATGTCTCAGTGATGGTTAAGGATGCTGAACATTTCTCTAAGTGTGTCTCAGACAGTTGAGGTTCCTCTTTTGAGAATTCCGTGTTTAGATCTGTGCCCTGTTTTTAACTGGGTTATGTGTTTTCTTGGTATCTAGTTTTTGGGTTCTTTATGTATTTTGGATACTTTCCCTTCATTGGATGTGTAGTTGCTAACAATCTTTTCCCATTCTGTAGGCTGCTGCTTTTTCTGTCCTTTTGATGGTGTCCTTTGTGCTGCTGAAGCTTTTCAGCTTCAGGAGGTCCCATCTATTAATTGCTGATCTTATTGCCTGTACTAATGGTGTTCTGTTCAGAAAGTTGTTTTCTGTACCAATGCATTCAAGGCTCTTTCCCACTTTCTCTTCTGTATGGCTCAGTGTGTCTGGCTTTATGTTAAGGTCTTTGGACCACTTGTACTTGAGTTTTGTGTAGGGAAATAAGTATGGATCTGTAAGTATTGGATTCTTGTACATGCAGACATCTAATTTGACCAGCACCATTTCTTGAAGATGCTGACTTTTTCCAGTGTGTATTTATGGCTTCTTTATAAAACAAACAAACAAACAAACAAACAGGTGTCCATAGGCGTGTGGATGTATGTCTAGGTCTTCAATTTGATTCCACTGATCACTCTTGTCTGTTCTTGTGCCAATCAGAAGTATTGTTATTTTCATACTTCTAGCTTCTGGGTAGACATTTTTTTTGTGTGTGTGCAATGCTTCACTTTTATGATTTTTTTCCTTAGCCAGCTAGAGTCACATTAGCCGTAGGATTATGAGGACTCATAATGTCACCACCATCAGCCATATGGAGGAATCTGCTGACATGGGCTGAAATATCTAGAGACTATGCAAGCTCAAAGCATTCATACTATATAACTAGACTTTCTTTGGACTGCCAGTAGATGGAGTAATGACATGGAGACCTTCTATTATTTGTGAAAGCTTAGGCCTTATAGCTTAGGCTTGTTCCCAACTAGCTTGTATGACTTAATTAACCCTGTCTATACTAGTCCACATCTGCCACTTGGCCTGTTATCTCTCCTGAGTCCCATGAGTCCAACTTCCTCCCTGTCTGTCTGGTGAATCTCTCGCCTCTCAGTTCTTCCCACAGTTCCTATCTCTGCCCAGATGCCCTGCCTTTCCTCTCCTGCCTCAGCTATAGGCTGTCAGCTCTTTACTAAACCAATCAGAAGGTGAGGGAAGTTTGCTTACAAAACACTGAGACAGGTGATGCTTCATAAAAATAAAAATACTGAAGTCTGACAGAACTCAGCTCTCTGCTGGTACAGAAATCAACATTTGAATAATACAGACAGCCTTTACATGGTGTACGAAAAACTATCCCAACAGGCTGAATAAACTGTAAAGTGACAGACACACGTCTAGATCACTGTAGTCTCAGGTACACGAGAACTGTCTGCTTTCCTAGAGGCTCGGACTTCAATTCGGGGGGGGGGGGACTTTCTTTAAAACCTTTGAGGGTCCAGGTCATTCATTTAAGGCCTGGTAAGTATTTGCACCACCTAGTTGCCATGGTTAGGAAGTGTGTTTGAACCAGCTCCTGTGCACTCAGCCTTTTTGGTTCATCTTGTTGGATGAACTACTCCACCTGGCCATTCTCCCTGTAGTACACATTTTGAGTATTGGTTCAGTAACGTTCAAATTTTCTTATTTTATTTTATTTTTATCTAGAACCAATTGTGGAGAATACAAACAATTTATATGAAGATCAAATAGCTGATTAGAACTAATATTTTTGTGTGTCCAATTTATTTTTCCCCCTTTTTGATGGATACATAATTTTTATTAAAAATGTATTGGGTTTTGTGTATGTTAGTGTTTCACCTGCATGTACAGCTGTGCGCCACTTTGGTAACCAGCCCTGGTGGAAGCCGGGAGAGGGTATCAGTTTCCCTGGAACCAGAGTTACATTTGTGAGGCACCTTGTGGGTACTAGGAATTGAACCCAAGTCCTCTATGAGGACAGCCAGTGCTCCTAACTGCAGAGCTATTTCTCCAACACATTTGTAAATTTCCAAAACCATATAAAAGCTGGGCACAGTAGCCTCTGCCTGTCATCTTGGCACTTGGGAGCTTGAAGCATGAAAACTACAAATTTGAAGCCAACCATAGTGTGTAGAGAAATTTTAATTTAGAACATTGCTGCTCTGGCAAGAGATCACATCCAAAGACCTTCTAGATCTTTGTGATCTGACTGGAATACAAATGTGCCTTTAATCCAGGAGACAGGGGCAAGCAGATCTGAGTTCAAGGCCAGGCTGGTATACAGCAGGCTTGGTGGTTCACTCCTTTTGTTGAAGTTCAGCTTCGACATTTCCTTGGAGGCAGGGTGTAGATCCTACGGCTGTGACTGCCTGGAGACTTTTTCTGAGGGTAATTTTCCAGGCTGGAACTGATGGTTACCAACCATGGCTTCCACCGACAGTGGCAAACTGAGGGGCCAGAATTAAACTGCTGGTAGCAGGCCAGTGTTGATAGCTTTCTACCATGTAAGTAGGGTGGGGCTAGGGATGTTAGCTCCTAGGGGGGCTTTCACTGATTGTGGCAAGTGGGGGCTTACAGCTACCATGTAAGCAGAGGCTAGGGCTGTTGGCAAGCATCTAAAAAGAAAAGGGAAGGAGGAAAGAAAAAGAAAAAGATCACACACACACACACTTAGACTTGATGATGAAGTAAGACAGACTCCAGCAGGTAGGTTCCAACAAGCTTTTTCTTTACCTTTTTAAATTTAGCTTCTCTTACAGGCATCTTTTATTTTACACATACTTACAATCATATGTACATACATACACATGTACATACATATATATGTGCATACATGCACATAATGGATGGCTAGAGCAAACTCCAGATATCGAGCTCCAACCCAGCCTTACATACATACATATTCATATATTCTGGTGGGTGACACAAACTTCAGAGAGTGAGGTCCAAACCACTCTACATACACACATCCTGGTGGATGGAACAAACTCCGAGAGCCAGTGCAAACCACACTTTCACTCTTTCTCCCAAGCGTACATTTCCCAGCAGGATCTTTGAAGAGGTACAGAAATCACAATGTGGTTACATTCTATTTTCCTGTAAGTGAATGATTACAATGAGTGTATGTAAGAAAAACATTTTCCCCCGCACCTTCACATGAGCTAATGTTTTTATGTATTATGGGTGAAAAACAAATATGAAAAAACAAGTTATTTCCAAGAACCCATATACATTTGTAACTGAGAAACTTGTGATAGGTTAACAAGGTGAGCAAGCAAGGTAATTTCTCAGCCAGCCTTTATCTATCTATCTATTTATTTATTTTTATTGGCAGGCTGCAGTTTGCAGTTACAAAGAAAGATTTATCTTTAAAAAGTAATCTTATAAAAATCTTAAAAGAATCACCAATATAAAATGCTATATAAAAACAGTCAGCCATTTATAGTTAAAATCTTTAAGGTGCACATCTACTCATTAATAATTTTTATTAGTCATAACAGGAAGCTGAGGGCAAAAATGAATATAAGAAATTAATCACTTTGAAGCCCAGCTTCAGGGAGAGAGAGTCATGTCAGCTAGTGCTAACTGGGTTATTGTTCTCACTCACCAACCTCAACAAGTCCCTGGCTTGACTATCAAGAGTGTATTTTCCTGGACTTCAAACTGTTCTCTAAGATTTTCTATGTCAGAGCCATTAGCAAAAACATCTTTACCTAACCTTGCTAAACAATCTATTTTTCCAAATTCCTTCTAAGGGTAGTGGCCATTGCTAACAATCTGCATCTGTAGGTTGTTTTCAAGGGTGATGGTTGAATCACCAGCAGCGATGCCTGAAAGAGATCAAGCATTGTTATTCTTCGTGCCAGAGATGCTGCCCAGAGAGAGGCTGGAAGCCCCTGGGAGTTTTCATACGATTTATATATTAGGAGGATAATGATTTTCATACGATTTATATATTAGGAGGATAATGAGGCCCTCGAGGATAACAAGCAGATCTATGCTTCATAACAGCATAAAGTTCTCAGGACACGTAGTTCTTGGGGCAAGACACACCCATCATGGCTCTGCATTTCATGAATTCTAGAGCTGTTTTAATTGGGAGCTCCTGCATGGCTTCCAATATCCTTTTGATCCCTAACAATGAAGGTAGTTTGTAGAAGGAAGCACAAACTTCCTTTGAAAGTGATGTCTAACTGAGTGGCAGAAACAGTGACAAATCAGAGAAAGACTTGACAGAATAGGATATGGCCAACTCTCACGAAAAGACAGAGAAAAGGGAAGCTACTTAAGAGGCAATACACAGAGGAAAAGAGGCAGTTTTACCAGGACAGTAATAAAGAGAATTCAGGTGAAGACCAGAGGAGCCAGAGAATGAGAAGGAGCCAGGAGATTAGAGCAAATTGCTTGAGTTAGTGTGAGGCCAAGCAGAGCAATTCAAAGATGAAAAGAGAAGCCAGATTGAATATCAGCTGGGAGAGGAGTTTGAGCCAGAACAACTGAGTTGAACCAGCCAACCCAGAGCTCAGAAAGAAAAGAAAGGGTAAGCTTATTAAGCAGTAAGTCTCAGGCTGAAAACATTCTAGGCTGAGGTTAGATTGTAGGAGGCTAGAAGCTTCCAGGACTAGGTCTAGGTTAGCAGATGGAGGTGATAAGCCTTCCAGACAACAATTACTACAAAAGAATAAAAGTTACTTTTACAATATTGAGACTCTGTCTCAAAACAACAAAATCCCAAAACTAAACAAAAAACCAAACCAACTGAACAAACAAAAAAATTAAGTCTAGTTCCAAAGAGTCCTGAAAAAAGATTCTGGAGCTAATTTTGGAACTAAAATAATCAGTTTCTCTCCCAGCATCATCTCACACAAGGAAATGCTAAATCAGAAATTTGAGAACACAATTTGTTCTACAATTTTTTTTATATACATTTATACTTGTGCAAATTTCTTAAGGGTTTTACTTTGTGGTCTGTCTTTTATTTAACTTTGTTTCATTTTTTTGAGATAGGGTCTCATGTAAACCAGGCTAATTTCAAGCTATGTAGCTGGGGATGGCCATGAACTCCTGATTCTCCTACTTCTTTTTCCCATGTGCTGGGACTACTGCCATGTATGTAGGCCTGTGTGGACAAGGCTGGCCTCAAACTTGAAGTAATCTTTCTGCCTCTGCCTCCCAAATGCTGGTGTTAAAGCATGCACCACCATGCTTCTTTAAGGTTTTAATTTGTGGTGCTGCATGCCTTTAATTCCAGTACTTGGGAGGCAGAGGCAGGCAGGTTTCTCTGCGTAGGAGGTCAGCCTGGTCTACAGAGTGAGTCCAGGACAGCCAGGGCTACACACAGTGAAACCCAGTCTTGAAAAACAAAAACAAACAAAAAAAATTAAATGTGATTATTATCCTCTCTGGTATTTTTTTCAAGGTTAATATGTACTGTCCATGTAAAAGTTCTACATTCTTGGACACGCTTTTTAAAATAATAAATTCTTAAGGGCTGAAGAGATGGCTCAGCATCTTTAGAAGTTAAGAGCACTGGCTGCTCTCTGAAAGGACCCGAGTTCAGTTCCCAGCACCCATATGGCAGTCTACAACTGTTAACCCCTCTTCCCAGGGATCCATCACCCTAATACATGCAGGTAAAACACCAATGAACATAAAAATAAATTTAAAAATAATAAACTCTTTCCTCTCTAGACCAATTATTTCATGCACGTGTGGAATCATTTAAACCATCACCCTTAGTTTACAGTTGCTTATAGATTTGAGTATTGATGCAGACCCTCCAGTGACGCCATCTTCACAAACAGGCCAGCATGTCCCTCGGCTTATCAAGTCTAAAAGCCTGTGTAACTACGGAAGCCCTTTAACTACAGACTTACTTCTCCTCCTCTCCCACACCAGACTTCTGTACAGGTCTGTAGTTACTCTCTTCATTTCTCTGTACAAACGTTAACATTTATTATTATTGTGTGTGTTTGTGTGCCACAGTCACATGTAGAGGACGGATGATGCCTTGCAGGAGTCAGTTCTTCTACCCTATGGATTCTGGGAACCACACTCAGCCTTACCTCCTGAACCATGTCTGTGGCTCCGGCTCTCCTTTTTTCCTTCCATGGCCACCCAATCTAGTTCACTCCACTTATTCTCACTGTTGGGTCACAGGTGACCTTCTCCTTGTGTAGTCAAGTGGTTGCACCTCAAGCCTTGCCTCCCATTGTCTTTCCAAAAGCATTTCATGTTCCTGAACAGTCTGGGGAAATGTTTTCCACCATCACCTCTGGGGCAGAGATGACGCACTGTGCGCCCTATAGCACTGGGCATCCTGTAGCAGTGTTAGACTCTGCAGAGTGGACCAGAGCACGGTGGGCTTGCTGCTGCTGCTTCTCATCGCAGCCTGCTGAGCTGGAGTCCTCAGTGTCTCAGTTTTCCTTACATTCTCTGAATGCTAATTCTGACACCCTCTCCCGCCCCCGCAACTCCTCCTCATCCTCGCCCTTGGCTGTTGTATGCATCCTGTGCCTCGTCCCAAACCTAGACTGTCTCAGCCTCTTTCGGGATCCTTCTGTTCCATGTGGCTTCAAGCATTCTTGTGTGTGGATTACTTTTAGAGTTTCATTCTAATCTGAGCTTCAAGGAGATGCATTTGAATGCCAATGAGGCATCCATCTTTGTAAATTCAGAGGCACTTGAAATTCCTGCCTCAAAATGAATGCAAACTAGGAGTAGGAAAATAGAGAATATAAAATTAGACATTCTGAAGTGCAGTCTTGGGGCTGCTGCCCCACAGTGTATGGCTGCAGACAAGAATGTTAATTAATGGCACTGTGCCTGAGGTTCTTTGTTGTCTAATGGAGATAATTTTGGAGCATCTGAGCATTAAATGGTACTTCACCTGAGAATCACTGCAAATTATGGGAGCACACAAGGTATGCAAGGCAGTGGTAGCACGTCCAGAACTCCTCCTTCCATTCTGCTCTGCCTGTGCCCAGCCAAATTTCTTTCCTGTTCTTGACTCCTGAAGAGAAACAACAATTATTTCAGTGTTTTTAAGAATTGTTTATTAGGGCTGGAGAGATGGCTCAGAGCACTGGCTGCTCCCCCAGAGGTCCTCAGTTCAATTTCCAGCAACCACATGGTGGCTCATAACTATCTACAGTGTTATTTAAAAGTAACACAGTAAGTTAGTGGAATAAAATTGAGAGTTCTTTTATACACCCATATATGTATAATCATTTGACTTAGGACAAGTAGATATCCTATAACAAGGGATCCCTACCAATTGCTCTATATATGTAAAAAAAAAAAAAAAATCTATACGCCTTCTAGAAAAGGAGAAATACACTTTTGAACTTGGGAGTGGACTCCTAGGTATGTCATCAAAAGCATATGCAGCCAGCAGGGTATGGTGGTGCACTTGGGGAGGCAGAGGCAGGAAGGTCACTGTCAGTTCAAGGCCAGCCTGGTCTACAAAGAGAAGGCTACACAGAGAAACCCTGTCCTGAAAAACCAAAAACCAAAATAAAACAAACAATCAAACAAAGGATGTGCTAAAGAAAAAGATAGAACAGCTGGTATAGAAACAGTGTTTTTGCATAAAAGGACACTGTCTGGAAAGGCAAAAGAGCTGGGCATGGTGGTACATGCCTGTAATTTCAGCATTCAGAAGGCTGGGACTTAGATCATCACAGGCTTACAGTCAGCTTCATTATACATGGTGAATTCCAGGCCAACTAGGACTAGAAAGAAACACATCTGTTGAAAAGGAAAAAGACAATCGACAAGATAAAGAAAGAATTTATAAATAATTTATCTGGGCCTGGGATCCAGAATATATAAAGAACTCTTAAAATTCAACTACAAAACACAATAGAATGAAAAACAGACAAAGGCTTCAATTTTTCTAAAGACACGTATGTAAATAAACCATGAAAAAATATTAGCCATGAGGAACTGCAAATGAAAACCACAGTGAGGATCTGGAAATTTGGCTTAGCGGCTAAGAGTGCTGTCTGCTCCTTCAGAGGGCTGAGTTCAGTCCTAGCACCCACAGCAGGTTGCTCATAGTCCCCTGTAACTCCGGGTTTCCAGTGCCCTCCTCTAGCCTCTGCAGGCACCTGCATGCACCTGTACCCACTTGCGCATACCCCACATAGACCTAGACAGAGACACATAATTGAAAATAAAATAAATCCTTAAAAACCCACAGTGAGGGTTGTAGGTATAGTTTAGTGGTAGAATGAGCTCTTAGTACATGACAAGGTCCTGCATTTAATCCCTACCTGCAAAACAAACAAACAAAAAAACAAAACAAGATTAAAATCCCACAATGACATACCACTTCACTTCATTTCTTCTAGATGGTTCCAAAAAAATGGAAAATAACAAGTGGTGACAAGGGCTGGAGAGATGGCTCAGAGGTTAAGAGCACTGGCTGTCCTTCCAAAGGTTCTGAGTTCAATTCCCAGAAACCACATGGTGGCTCACAGCCTTCTATAGTGATATCTGGTGCCCTCTTCTGGCATGCAGGCACACATGCAGGCAGAATACTATATACACATAATAAATAAACAAACGAATAAATAAATAAATCTTTTTGAAAACACTTAAAAAAACAAACACACATAATAAATAAATAAATCTTTTTTGAAAACACTTAATAAAACAAACGCATGTCTCCAAAAAAATAGAGAAACTGGAGCTTTTCTGTGTTGCTTTGAAGTTGTAAAATGATGCAGCCACTGAGGAAAACAGTAATCAAAAGCTAAGCACAGGGAAAAAAAGCTAAACACAAAATTATCACAGGAAGTAATGGATATATACCCCCAAAGAACTGAAAACAAATACTCAAAACCAAAGAGTTAACACAAATGTCTGCCAATTGATAAATGGTAAGCAAACTGTGGTAGATGCAAACAGAATATTATTCAGCTATAAAAAGGAATAAATAAAGACTGACACACATTAGAACATGAATGAACTCTATATGCTAAATACAAGAGGCCAGAGCTAGAAGGATTGTTCACTCGGCAAGGTGCCTTCCCCACAAGTGTGAGAACCTGAGCTCAAATTCACAGCAGCCATGTGGGTGTGGTAGCGCATCCCTGTAATCTGTGTGAAGACAGGGACAAGTGAGTCCCTGGCACTCTCTGGCCAACTATTCTCAGCCAATCTGTGAGTTCTTGGCTCTGTGAGAGACCTGGTCTCAAAAAGTAAGACAGAGGTGATCGAGGAAGACATCTGACATTGATCTCTGGCTTACACACACACAAAGTGAAAGAATATCTTTTAAAAAACCAAAAGGACATATATTACATTTGTGTATTTATATGAAATGTTCTGAACAGCAAATTATTAGAAAGAGGGTTGGGTTGGACACATGCCAGGATCAAGAAGGAAAGAGAAATAGCTTACATGTAATGAAGCTGGAAAGGGTGATGGGGCACTGTGCCACAGATAAGAATTCTGATATTTCCCTGCACTGACAAAGGCTAAACATGGAACCCACGTGCTGAGGGCATAGGAGTTCATAACACACAGACACTTTTCCATAGACTTATGTTCTGTGCGTGAAATAGTTTGTAGGGACAGAGTCAAAAGAAAACCTTGGGGATGGAAGAATGGCTCAGTGCTTAAGAGCATTGATTGTTCTTCCAAAGGACCCAGGTTCAACTCTCAGTATCCACATGGCAAGTCATAATTGTCAGTAACTCCAGTTCAAGGGGATCTGACACTCTCACACAGACATACATACATGCAGGCAAAACGCTAATGTACCCAGAGAGAGAGAGAGGAAGAAAAGCTGGGTGGTGGTGGCACACACCTTTAATCCCAGCATTTGGGAGGCAGGCAGGTGGATCTTTGTGAGTTCGAGGCCAGCCTGGAATACAGAGTGAGTTCCAGAACAGCCAAACCAGAACAGCTACACAGAGAAACCTTGTCTTGAAAAACCAAATCAAACAACCACTCCCCTCCCCCTGGTGCAGGCCCAGAGGACAGGAACACTTTCACTGCAAAAGCACAAAGCCCTATCTGGACCATTGTTGCTTGTGGAGTGAAAGACACCTGGTGGTCTGTGTTTTTTATTTTATTAATTTGTTTATTTTTATGAAAGGAAGGGTTTATTTTGGCTTGCAGCTCTAGGGGATACAATCCATCATGTCATACTGGATGGTGACTAGAGAAGGAAGGTCCTGGCCATATTGTATCCAGAGTCAGGAAGCAGATAGTGAACAGGAAATAGAGCTGGATTATACACCATCAAGGGTCACCTTCTGTGGCCTCCATCCTTCAGTGAGTCTTTAAAAATAATTATTTATTCACTTTACATCCTGATTAAAGCCCCCTTCTTCTCCTCCCAGTTCCCCCCAACCCTCACATATACCCTTCTTCCCCCATTCTTCCTTGTCCTTCTCCTCAGAGAAAGGAGAGGTCTTCTATGGGTACCAACCCGCCCTGGCACATTAAGTCGCTGCAGGACTAGGCCCATTCTCTCCCATTGAGGCCAGAAAAGGCAGCCTATTTAGGGGAACCAGATCCAAAGGGAGGCCTCATAGAGAGAGGCTGGGCTCTAGTTGCTAGAGGTCCCACATGAAGACCAGGCCGAGAATCTGCTGCGTATGTGCAGGGGTCCTAGGACCAGTCCATGCATGCTCTTTGGTTGGTGCTTCAGTCTCTGTGAGCCCCCGTGGGCTCATGTTAGTTGACTCTGTAAGTCTTCTTGTGGAATCCTTGGCCCCTCCAGCTTCTTCAATCTTTCCCTCAAGTCTTCTATATGACTCCCCAAGCTCTGTCAAATGTTTGGCTATGGATCTCCGCATCTGTTTCCATCAGCTGCTGGGTGAAGCCTATTAGAGGCCTACAGGCATAGCAGAGTAACATTAGCAGTGTCAGGGGTTGGTTCTCTCCCATGGAGTGGGTCTCAGGTAGAGCCAGGTTTTGGTTGGCCATTTCCTCAATCTTAGCTCCATCTTTGTCCCTGCACATCTTGTAGGCAGGACAAATTTTGGGTTGGGTGTTTTATGGATGGGTTGGTGTCCTTATCCAGGCACTGGAAGTCCTGCCTGGAGGTAGAGGTAGGAGACTCAGAAATTCATCCTTGTCTACATAGCAAGTTGGAGGCCAGTATGGACTTCGTGAGAAAAAAAAAAATAGATAAAACATTTGGTCAGGCCTTGTGCTTTTTAATATGTATAGGTGTTTTGCCTACGTATGTTTTTCTTATATCTATACCATATGTGTGCCTTTTATCCATGGAGGTCAGAAGAGGCCATTGGATCCTTTGGAACTGGAGTTACAGGCAGTTGTTAGCTGCCATGTGGGTGCTGGAAACCAAACTGGGTCCTCTGCAAGAGCATAAGTGCTCTTTATTTATTTATTTTTTTTAAGATTTATTTATTTTATGTAGGTAAGTGCTCTATCTGTATGTAAACCTGCATGCCAGAAGAGGGCATCAGATCCCAGTAAAGATGTTTGTGGGCCACCATGTGGTTGCTGGGAATTGAACTCAGGACCCCTGAAAGAGCAGCTAGTGTTGTGAACCACTGACACCAATCAAGTCCTTTTACTGTCAGACACTCCCAACATCCAGCAACAACCCAAAGAACAAAGGACAGCCCTTCCATCTATAGACTTTCAAGGGACTGGGACATTGCAGGAATCTAGCAGTTTAAGGAAGGTTCTAGAAGGATTATAGGATATGCTGATCCCCTTCACAGGGGCAGCCCCTCTGAGTACTCTCCATGACACTGAAGCACATAGTTTATCATAACTAAAATAGAAAGAATGACATCAAGATTTTTTTTTTTTTTTTTTTTTTGTAAGACAGGCTCTCACTGTGTAGTCCAAGCTGGCCTAGAACCTGCTATGTGTACCAAAACTCTCAAACTCACAAAAATGTACTTGCCTCTGCCAGTGCTGGGATTAAATGTATATTCTACCAACTCCAGTAAATATTTAGCTTTTAAGTCAAGGCTTATGATTCATTTGGAGTCATTTTTTCTATAGAGGATGAAGCATGAAGCAAGACTCACTTTTCTTTTTTTTAATGGGGTTTTTATCTTGTGCCATTTTGTTGTTGTTTGAGACAAGGTCTCACTATGTAGCCCAGGCTGGCTTGAACTCAGAGGTTTGTCTGTTCCTGCCTTCCAAGTGCAAGGATTAAAGGTGTGCACCACCATGTCCACCTGTATCGTTTATTTTTAAGATTTGTTTTCATTTTATGTGTGTTTGTAGGCCTCGAAGTATACCATATGTGCAGTGCCTCAGGAAGCCAGAAGAGGGCATCAGAACCCCTAGAACAGGACCATGTGGGTTATGGGAACCCAGGTCTCCTGCAAGAGCAGAAAGTACTCTTAACCACAGAGCCACCTCTCCAGTCTCCCAACTCACTCTGTCTCTGTCTCTTCTGGGGGTTTCGAGACAGGGTTTCTCTTTGTAGCCCTGGCTGTCCTGGAACTCATTCTGTAGACCAGGTTGGTCTCAACTAACAGAGATCCACCCCCAGAGTGCTGGGATTAAAGACATGTGCCATCACCACTGGGCTCCAGCTCTTATTTTAAAGGTATATTTCCTGGTGCTTTATTGGATTTTAAAAATAATTCAAAATCTACAATTTACATATAAATAGAGAAGCTTAATAGCAGAGAGTCTATTTGGCAAAGTAATAATAAAATAGCAAAGTCCGAAATTCCTTATAAAAGTGTTTGGGGTTTGGCATGCATATTTTTCCTAGAATTCTCCCTCCCTCTTCTTTCTCCTCCCTCCTCTTTTTCCTCTTCCTTCTCTGACAGCTGTTGACTCTAAGTTGTGTTTTAGAAGGCGGAGGTTGACAATGCACAAAGCGCTAGAAAGCTCAGTGAAATTATATGTTTGATTTGTTTGTTCTGATTTCACTATATTGATTATTAGTACAGATCCTGTTTGGTAACTGGATTGATGTTACCAGAATTATCTATATCATGTAGCAGGATATTTTAGATTTTTTTTTCTTAAGATTCATTTGTTATGGAAAAAAAAAAGATTCATTTGTTATGTAGACAATGTTCTGTCTGCGTGTACAAATGCATACCATAAGAGGGCACCAGATCTCATTATAGGTGGTTGTGAGCCACCATGTGGTTGCTAGGAATTGATCTCAGGCCCTCTAGAAGAGCAGCCAGTGCTCCTAATCTCTGAGCCACCTCTCCAGCCCTAATTTTTGTTTCTTTTTTGTTTTGTTGATGTTGTTTCAAAAACACATTTTTAGGGGCTGGCACCTGGCTTAGTGGTAAAGGCACTTTCTGCCAAGTCCGACCTTCTGAGTCCAATCCTTGGCGGTAGAAGGAGAGAACTGACTCCTAAAATTTGTCCTCTGATCTCCACATACACCCACACTAAAATAAATGTAAGGTTAGGTGTAGTGGCCTGTATTTTTAATCCCAGCACTTGGGAGGCAGAGATAGGTAGGTAGATCTCTGTCAGTTCAAGGCAAGTTTGGTCTTTATCATGAGTCCTAAGCCAGACAGGGCCATAGGAAGAGTCTTTATCATGAGTCCTAAGCCAGACAGGGCCATAGGAAGAGCCTGTCTCTCTCTCACACATACACAAATGCACAGCACAGGACCACCGTACCCTCTAGTAGACTGAAGTACAGGCCTTTAGGATCAGAACCATGATGGTTCCTGTGTCCTGAGGTTTTTTGTTTTTTTCATTGTTCTTTCCAAAACTCATGTGAGTATTCTTACCCCTGAAATCTGAACATAAACTGTTTGCAGGTCCTGCTGGGTGTCTACTTTGAGTCCCCTGAAATCCGGCCAGGCGATGTTCTCTGACCACTTGATCTTTAGCAACAGTGTTGTCAGGGTTGGTGGTGTTCCTCTGCCAGAAATCCCTGGAATGAATGGGAAATGAGGTCCCCATGACGATGCCCATGCCCAAGGCACCTCCTGTCCTCATGGTGATCATGAGCCATGCTCTGTGGACATGGTGCTTGGCAAGGCTGATTGAGGAGCTGTGACCTCAGGCAGCTTCAGCTTCCTGAGACATTTTGAGTAAACAAAAGGAGGAATAGTTTGGATCAAATTGAATTTTCTAACCAGAGTCTCTGATTGCAGCATTGCCTCACTCCCAGAGTTCTCCAACTGTCAGCAGCACCTGCACTAAAGTGCTCTATTTCACTGACCGGTCACTCACGCCCTTCATGGTCAATATACCAAAGAGGTGAGATGCTCATGTCATTGTTTCATTGTAAAAACAGACAGACAGACAGACAAACAAGCAAAAGAAAGAAAGGGAAGCATAGCCCTGTCATTGCCCAGATGAGGGGCTGAAAGGTGTTTGAAAAGCAGCCTGTCATAAAGACATAGAGACTCAAATTCCAGCTTGGCATATTTTTGTTTGTTTGTTTGTTCCTTCCTTCCTTAATCCTTCCTCCCTTCCTCCCTCCCTCCCTCCTTCCTTCCTTTTTTGAGACAGGTATTATTATGTAGCTTTGGCTGGCCTGGAACTTTCTATGTGACCAGGCTAGTCTCCCTCCAGCTCATAGAGATCCTCCAGCCTCTGCTTTCCCTCTACTAGGAATAAAGGGGTGCACCCCCACCCCTGGCAACCAGTGGCATTATAGGGGACTAGCAGGATCTACTGCTAGACACAGGAATAATAAACTGCATTGTTTTGTTTTTGTTTAGTTTTTTTGAGATAGGGTCTCACTATGTAGTTCTGGGTGGCCTGCACTCATGATGTAGACCAGTATGGTCTTGAATTCAGAGATCCACCTGCTGCCATCTCCTGAGTGCTGGGATTAAAAGTTTGTGTCACCATAAAGGCACGAGCCTCAAACTGATGCTTGAGCTGGGTGCCACTTACCTGTAATCTGAGCACCTGGGAGCCTGGAACAGGATTGTGAATTTGAAGTCACCCTAGGCTACATAGCAAAATCAAGGGAAGCTTGGGCAGCAGAGTGACTCTGACAAAAACGAACAAATAAAAAACACCTGATGAATTTAATATTATCAGCCTAAGAAAACTGGACCATTATGTCAGGGGAGAAACTGAGAAAACTTAGGTGTATTTATGGTTATTTAACAAATTTTATTTTGAATACCTTTTTTTTTCTGATTAGAAAGAGCAAAAGCAGTGAATTTGAGTTCTTTGATCACCTGATATGTAATGCCAGGCTCATTCCTAGTTTTGACTGGTTGCCCAACCTCTATTTTAGTGACATCTTGGTTATCAGGGGCCGTGACCTAGTATTGAAGCCATGCTACTTCTGCATGTTGACTTTGGCGGGGGCCTGGATTTCAAGCTAACACATCACCTTCCCAGCCTATTGATTAACAGGCTATTTTGGTACACTCTTCTTTTGTTACAGGCTGGGGGAGGTGACACTGAAGGATTTTAAAGCAGCTATTGATCGAGAAGGGAATCACCGGTACCACTTCAAAGCACTAGATCCTGAGTTTGGCACTGTCAAAGAAGAGGTACAGAGTCCAGGGGCAGTTGGGGGAATATTATTGGTCACTCCTGAATTAGCTCCCAGATGTACCAGAGTTCCTGTCTTGGTCGGTGCTCTATTGCTGTGAAGAGACACCATGACCAAGCAACTCTTATAAAAGAAAGCATTTAATTGGGGCTGGTTTACAGTTTAGTCCATTATCATCATGGTTGGAAGCATGGTGGCACACAGGGAGGCATGCAGCTGGAGGAGGTAGCTAAAACTTCTATATCTGGATTTGCAGGCATCAGAGAGAGAGAAAGACACTGGGGCTGGTTTGGGCCCTTGAAACCCCAAAGCCCGCCCCCAGTGATCACTTTCTCCAACAAGACCATACCTGCTCCAATGAGGCCACACCTCTAATCCTTCCAAGTAGTGCCACTCCCTGATGTCTAAGCATTCAAATACACAAGCATTTGGGGGCTATTCTTGTTCAAACTACCACATTCCATTCCTTGGCTCCCACTGGCTTGTCACCATATGATAATGCAATAATACATTCAGTCCAACTTCAAAAGTCCACATAGCAATATCACAGTTTTGGCACTTTTTAAAAATTTAAAGTCTCCTTGGAGACTCAAGGCACTCTCTTAATTGTAACCCCCTGTAAAATCAGAATAAAAAAGCGGATTACAAGATATGTGTATGTGGCACAGGATATACATTACCGTTCCAAAAGGGGGAAAGGCAGTATAGTGAGGAAATGCTGAACCAAAGCACGACCAAGACACAGAGGGACAAACTCTAGACTCTGCATCTCCGTGTATGATGCTCTTCGATCGCCAACCCTCTCAGCTTTGTTGAATGCAACACGCTTCTTTCTCCTGGGCTGGTCTCCCCCTCCCTACCTCTCTGTCTCTGTGTGTGCATGTGTGTGTTGTGTTCTGTAAGTCAGGGATAACTGGTGGGAGTCAGGTGATTTTCTCCACCATGTGGGTCCTGACATTGAATCCAGGTCATGTGACGATGCCTTTGTCCACTGAGCCATCTCAGAGTCCTTAAAGTGTCTTTTACCAGAAGTGTTGCTCAAGTGACTTTCCTTTACTTCCTCCTCTTCTTCTGACAGGGTTTCTCTGTGTAGCCCTAGCTGTTCTGGACTCACTTTGTAGACCAGGCTGGCCTCAAACTCACAGATATCTGCCTCTGCCTTCAGAGTGCTGGGATTACCAGTGTGTACCATAGAGCCCAGCTTCTCTACCCTACTTCTCTCAGTAGTTTCTGTTTTGTTGAAACGGGGTATCACACTGTGACCCAATCTGGCCTGGACTCATAGCTACCCTCCTGCCTCAGTCTGCTGGGCTCTCCAATGTTTCTATTATGGCTTTTTTTTTTAAACTAGGTTTTCCATGATGATGATGCCATTCCTGGATGGGAAGGGAAAATTGTAGCCTGGGTGGAAGAAGACCATAGAGAGAATTAACTGGACCCTGGACATTCCTTGGCTGCTTCTCTCAGGAAAGAGGACTAACACCAGAGTACGCTGAGAAGTTTCTAAGTCATGCTGCCAAAAAGAAGCTTCTTCAAGTATGATGGTCACGGGCCAGTCCTGTTTGTGTGCCTGGCATATCTGGTACTTCAAATCTCTGTCCAAAACATAGACCATGGGTTCATCCTGGAGCTCCTTTTCCATGGGAACAGTGTTTTATTTTACTCTGAGGACACCAAACCGAAGGCCTTAACCAACAGAGAAGGATGACCCCTCTTGTAGGGGCATGGCTGCTATTATCTGTAACCCGGAAGTGGATGCATCACTCCTTCGTGTTTCAGTGTTCATTTAATTGGCCTCAATGGTTACAGCAATCAGAGTCCCAGCATTTGTACTTACAGACAAGGCATTGCAAACCAGGAGTATGTTGTGAGGTGGTACCAAAGATGAAAGCCCACTTGCATATAGAACTGGATGATGGTGACTTGTGGATTGTGGGGAAAGCTTTTCCATATTGTGCTGTACTATGCCAAAACCGTACTTCAGACCTTGGGCTGCCTCTTCTGTTTTTTACTGGTTCTGCAGCTTGTCCTTAGCCCGTTGAGGGCGTTTTTTTGCATACTGCTGGTTTTCTCTGGGGACTCATTAACTTTAGGGCCATTTATTTTTCTTCAAACAGATAAACTTTGTGTTTGAAAATAAGAAGCGAGGGGCTCCTTGAAAATCCAAGAGGATATGGAAAGGTGCTGCTCCCCACATCTCTTTGACCTGAACTCATGGCATCTTCCCATTTACAAGGAGACAGACCATTTGTGTTTGTGATTTGAGTACTGAGCACGACTTACTGTTCTGCTTCTCATTTCAAGGCTGGAGTTATTTTCTATTACATGCTGAGTCTGGGCTGTTCCCGTAGGGCACAGTGAAACCTATGGGGCATGGAGCATGAGTTGTGAATGGCAGGGTTGATTCGAGGTGAAGAGTCAGTTTGTGCTGCAACACTGTCAACTACTGAAGCTAGAGTTCAGTTTCAGAGGCTACTCAGTAACTTGGGTTTTCTCATTTGCACACCTAGTACCAGTCAGCCATGATTACCTATTTATACAGTCCCTTAAAACAGACTGACCACACTGTACACTGCCAAACAGAAGAGTGGGATAGCTGGGTCAGTCCTGGGACTTGCCTGTCTCTGTGTCTCCCGTTTTCAGCCATTTGAATGGACTACCATTGGAACGCTGAGATGACATCTCATTGTTTTATATAGACATATCTTTTAAAAATAGTTCATGTTTGAAAATTGTTTTGTACTCATCTGCTTTTGTCTGAGAACCATGTCTATTTTTATAATTCAAGAGTGACTTCTGTGTAATCTGACATTCCCTATACTCTTATCCATTTTCTAGAGCTCTCAGTAGCTTTTCTACTGTCTTTTTTTACCACCTCTTGTGGTTTCTGAACAAGCTTTATTTTGTTATGAGTATACTAATGGTGGTTAGTTCCTGTCCAGTTTTCCCTGTTTTTAGTGCTGGAGGGTTTTTCTTTTTTAATCTAGTTGATTGCTCTTCTAAAAGACATGAGATCAAAAAGACCTGATGTCTTCCATGCACGCTACCCTGGTCTTCTATTGAAGAACAATTTTTCATCAGCTATAACTAGGAACGTTCAGGAAAGTCAGCCATAAGCAAGAAAAACTCATTGTGAAAGCCAAAAGAAGAAAACAGTGTTACTTTCGTCTTTTCTCAAGACAGCTGGAGGGACAAAATGTTCATATATCACCAGTTTCTCTGTTGCATGAATTCGAATGTTTTGCTATTTGACAGCATGAAGGTGATCAGGCTAAACTTCATTACTGTAGTCCAGGTATAATTTACCTTGAATATCTGTCTCCTAAATCTGATTTTATTGTCCTTTTTCTTTTAGCAGTCTTAACATTACATGAAATTAACTTTTCAGCAAAAATTAAATCAGAAAAAACTTGAAGTCCTCTATATTGTGTTTTATTTTTATCTTTTTTTTTTTAAAAGGACCCTCATGGCCTTAGTGCTTCAATAAAAAGCAGAGGTTGGTTGAATGCTGGGAAGAAATGGAATTCATTAATTTCATCTACCCTTCAGAGTCTTCAGAGCAGAAGCAAGCATGAATTCATTCTGTTTTGAATAATATCCTGTTTGGCTAAACAGCAGTTCACAACCTGTAGATCATGACCCTCTAAGGGGTTGAACAACCCTTTCACAGGAGTCACCTAAGACCATTGGCAAACACAGATATTTACATTATGATTTCTAACAGTAGCAAAATTATAGTTGTGAGTAGCAACGAAAACAATTTTTTTGGTTGGCGGTCACCACAACATGAGGAACTGTATTAAAGGGTCGCAGCATTAGGAAGGTTGAGAACCACTGCTCTAGGAGAACTTGTGGCTTGAAATTATTGTCTCCTAGTGGTACTGGCGTGTACTAATCCATTCTGTAATTGCTGACAGTCTACTTCCTTGGGAAAAAGTACTTGACTCAAATGTTAAGAAATCCATAAAATAATCTCTCAGCTATGTTTAAAAAAAATTGTAAGCTGGGCATAGTGGGTCAGGAGATCTCTGTGAGTTCGAGGCTAGCCTGGTCTACATAGTGAGTTCCATGACAGCCAGAACTACATAGTAAGACCCTATCTTGAAAACAACAAACAAATAAATAAAAACAAAAGTAATGTGTAAAAATATATCAACACAGACACCTGTAAACACATAAGAAAAAATAAAAACCTTAAAAATGACCCCAAACGCTAATCTAAATATTTAAAAACTGAAGAATGCTGGGCAGTGGTTCTTTAATCCTAGCATTCAGAAAACGGAGGCAGGTGGATCTCTGAGTTCAAGTCCAGCCTGGTCTACAGAGTGAGTTCCAAGACAGCCAGGGCAACATGAAGAAACCCCGTGTCTGAGCAAAACAAAACTGAAGAGTGTCCTCTTCTTGCTCAGTTCCCTAAATCAGTTTGCACCTAAAGCCTCTGCCTGGTGGTAGATTCATGCCTGTAATTCCAACATTTGGGAGGCTGAAGCAGCAGGATACCCAGTTATGCCCATCTGGGCTACAAAATGAGATCTGTGTCTGGGTTAAAATAAAAAATAGAAGTATGGGTTAGCTACATACATTGGAATACACTGGAAACAGCAATGCTCCTTTCAGACCCACTCTTCAGTTATTTTAAATGGGATAACTAAATTAGGAAAAGATCTTTGTTCTACATCCAATTCAGGAATACTCAATTACTGAAAAACATCATAATTAAATTTTTCATTTTTACTCAAAAGCATGATTGCACACTCTTGATTTGTCGAACTTGAGAGGTACAGCTTGTTTAAAATACATATAAAGTTCTATTTTCTTAGAAACATGGATGTTTGTAACCATTGCTTTCAGAGAGTATTACCATGTATTCTGTTTATAATGTGTTCACAAATACTTTGTTCTGCCAGGGGTTTCCAATTTTCAAATTGCCAGTTTTAACTGCCTGAATGTACTAGAATTGTGAACTAGTCGAAAACACATGCAAACACTATGAATAAAATGGAGATTGCGAATTAAATCCACTTCATTTTCATTTATATCTCTTAACCGAGATCAGCCAGTAAAACCACTTACATTTAGTGAAGGTAAATTTCCTCAAGTGATCTATCTCCCTGGTAGCATGTTTGCTCATTATCAGAAGGGCAGAGATAAGGATTGTTTTATTGCTAGCGATATTTTACTGTCGGTATTTCTAAAATAAGCACAAGAAAGATTATTCTAAAAAGGGACTAGCTAATTTTGCACATCTTTTGAAATAATACGGAAGTGTATGGACACATAGACCCTGAGAGTATAAACTGATAACATTAATATTCAAATGCCATTCGAACTTGGCTCAGAAGTGTTTAAGACTGAACACTGGACCCTGTGTGTGCTAAGCATGATTTCTACCACCAAGCCTCTCAAGATCCCAGCCAGAAGTGTATGTTTTTCTATTTTGAGACAGCCTCTCACTATATTATCCAAGCTGATAGATTCAGATAATTAATCATTTTCCTTCAGTCTCTGTAGTAGCTGTGACCACAGGCATGGACTACAAACCCAGCCCAGAAATGAATACCTACAGGAATTGGAATTCACAAATCATTTTAAAGGCTGCCTCCCCCAAATTCAAGCAGGCTTCATTTATCACTTTAATATTATCAATTTAAATGACATATTTCAATCTTTAGCTCTGAGTGCTTTCTTTCACTTGGTTTCTGATTATTTCCAACTTTGTTTTGTTATGTTTGAGACAGGGTCTTACTATGGAGACCTGACTGGCCTGGAACTTATAGAGATCTACCTGCCTCTGCCTCTCAAGGGCTGGATTTTCAAGAGATCTTTATTATTTTTTCATTTAGACAGAGTCCATGTAGGTAGCCCAGGCTGGCCTCAAACTGGTTGCACGGTGCTAGGACAACAGTCATGCATGCCATATGGCTGTCAGTCTAACTTCTCTAATTTGTTCTTGGGTTCTTGGTGTTCTCTGACCATCTGCACACTGAGGAATTGGTATAAATACAGCACATGCTTCCTTCTAATTTGATGTCACCTTCAGCTCAGAAATGATGACACTTTCTAATTACATAACTATTCAATGGGTGTATATTTAATAAATGTTGCACATAAATCATTAGTCAATAACTCAGAACTCAGCACTATGGTTACTATACTAACCTTGAAGAAACAGAAACAACAGATCAGATTCCTCAAGTGGCTTACAGATGAGTTGTGCTGTAAATTAAAGCTATGGAGCCACATGGGATTCTTAGTGACTATATGGCATGTAAAGGTGATGTCACCAAGTGTTTATGCCACTCAGTGACACTGCAGCCACTCTGTTCATGTGAGTGCAGTTATTTTTGTGACAGGGCTTCTTGAATTTCTTCCATTTGTGTTTCCTTCTGTGAGGGGATCACAGGGGTATTTACAATTACAAATAAAACAGTAAATAAGTAATTCAAAAATTTTTAGCAGTTACTAGTTATTAAAAATGAAATCAAATTTCTATAAAATTAGATGTGTTTGTTTGCTTTTACATTCAGAATTAAATCTATAAAATACATCCTGTATATGTATGAAATTTTCAAAGGATAAGCTAAACATATTTAAAGCCCTTATCACCTTAACTGTAATTTCTCCCCCATGTCTATGACTATCACCCATCATGGACTGGAGGAATGGCTCAGTGGGGTAAAGCCACTTGCTGCAATTTCATACATGTGCCTTGGACACAATTAAAAAATCACAAATCAAGAATTATGACCTATTTGTGCCCCTTTCCCCCACAAAAGGAATTCTAAGAACATATTCTGTGGTGAGGCTCTGGGGAACGAAGCAATCCCATACATTGCTGATGGGGAATACGAAAGCTTTAGGGTCAGAATATGGCAAAATCTAACCTAAGTACATTTAAACCTGTTTTTTATATATTGTGTTTATATAAATAATGTACATTTTAGGGGCCTCATGTAGCCATGACTGGCCTTGAACTTGTTACATAGCTGAGGATGACCTTGAACTTTTGATTTTCCTGTTCCTACTTCCCAAACGCTGGGATTAAATAGTTCATCAGGTGCTAAAGACTTGGTGCATGCTCAGCAGACACTTTTCTAAACAATATTTACTCTTATGTACTTTTTCCTGTGTATGCGTAGACACATGTATGCCGTAGTATAAATTCATAATGTATAGTGTTGTCTCATAAAGACATTCTCATAAAGTATATAATGTATTCTGAGTATATTTCTTTCCATACCTCCGTACCCCATCCTCTTCCTTTTTCCTTTACCTTAATCCCTTTTGTTCCTGTTTCCCTTCTGCTTCTTTGACATCCATACATACAGGATTTTGAGGATAAAGTCTAGGATCACAAATGAGAGAAAATATACAATATGGATCTTTCTGGGACTGAGTTAATTTGCTTAATTAAGTTTGCACCCATCTTGTGGATGACAAACTCCATTATTTGTGACTGAAGTAATTGCCTTGTAAATATTCCACATTTTAGCCACTCTTTTAGGATGGACATATAGTTTAGTCCTATAAATGAAATATTGTGTGTGAATCGTGCTGCAATAAAGGTGATGTGCAAGTGGAAAAAAAAGAGATAAATCTTGGCTGAATAGATGATACTGCAATACATGGAGTATCAATATTTTTCAGAGTTGATTACTATTTTGAAGTATAATTGTCGATATTGAGAATGCTGTTTCACATAAATAGGTAGCATATGAGCTCTGTCAGGGCTGGAGAGATGGCTCAGGGGTTAAGCATACACAGAAATAAATGTCATAAAAATTTAAAAATATACAGCGTAAAAATGTATATTTAGGGATATTTCAGAAATTACTGGAAATTGTCCAAATCTCAGGCCAAAATTCCCCGAATGACTTTCTGTGAAACTTAAATCAGCTATGGCAAGTTTAAAATTCAAATATTTAAACAATCCAACCCAAAGACGCACGACTATCATGCTTACACACTAGGGAATAGCTGTAGAAAAATGTCCTTTGTTTTCTGTAACTAAACCATTTTGTTCACATAAGAACAGAAAACTTTGTACAGTAAAACCAGTGCGAATCATACCATACATGATGAATCCGTGCCAAGGTTGGCTGGCCTTTTGTGACACCGAGGGCACGAGGGCTCGGCAGTGCAAAGAGCAAGGATGTCCTCGGAACAGCTGCAGTGGCTCGGTGGGAGGCCGCACAGGCAACAGTGGCTAGAAACAACTTGGGGTTGGGTGGTTTATGTCTGGAAACTTTTCATTGTTGCCATTTCTTTTCTTTTGACTCCACGTCGTTACTCCAGAGTTTAAGAAAGTTTTCTGTTGAGATCGCACAACTGTAGAATAGTGAAACAATGCGTTTCGCGAAGCTGTAGCTTAAATCTTTCGTTTTTGAAAGACAAGAGTCTCCAAGCTGGCACCTGGCTTTGCCTCCCCACGTCTGAGATGTGTCTTAATTATTTTCGCTATTTAAGAGGATATGGTGGTAATTTTGGGGTAATATAACTATTGGTTTTTTTTTCAAACTATCTTTATATAAGTCCTCTGAGAGTAACTTGAAATGTGAAAATGGACCTTTCATTTGGCTGAAAATCCTGGTGCTCCCAGGATTTTGTGTGGGCTAGGGACCTCGGACAGACCGCGCTGGGCGGGATCTGCAGCCAGAGGACACATCCCTGAACCCTGGAGGTCACTCGAGGGCCTTTCCTTCCTCCAACGTTCCGCGGTGCGCCCGCACCCACTGCCCTAAAGCTCTGGGTTGTCCGCCCAGGTTCATTCCCCAGCTTTTTGTTAAAGCAGAGAGAAGGCTGTTCCCGTTGGCACCGCCTCCCCGGCCGCCGGCTGCAGCGGAGCCGACCCTCCCGTCCACCTCAGAGCGTGCCGTACTTCCCATCCTCGGCGACGCCTCTCCCGGGCCACCCACACCCCCGCGCCTTCCCGTTCCCTCCAAACGTGCGCCGCCGACGACTGCCCGGAGGCGCCTCCGTCCCTTCCCCTCTCCCCGCGCCTAAGCGGCGGCCGCGGTACCTCCCGGGCGCGCCCGGCCCGAGGCCTCCGCAGAGGCGCCGACGCCGTTCGTTCCGTACGCCAGCCCCAGGAGCCAGTTTTACGACACTGCGCGACCGTAGGGCGCGGCTGACGGCAGAGCCGAGCTGCTCTTGGAGAGGTCACTCCGGAGACCGCGGAGCCTTTGGGGCGTGGGAGTCGGTGGCAGTATGTGGCGCGTCTGTGCGCGGCGGGCGCAGAGTGCAGTGCCCAGGGCCGGGCTCGGGGCTCGGTGGGCAGCCCTGAAGGAAGGCCCCAGGACCCCTTGCGGGAGCCCGCGGGCCAGCCCCGCTGCGGCTGGATGCAGCAACGCGACCCCGAGCTATGGGGTCCGCCTGCTGTGCAGCTGGAGCTCCGGCTCTGGCACCGCGCCTCGTAACCGTTTACTGCGGCAGCTCCTGGGGTCGCCCGGCCGCCGCTCTTACAGCCTCCCTCCGCACCAGAAGGTGAGTGTACCACCCCGGACCCCGTTGTCCTTCAGCGCCGGCTCCTTGACGTGGGGAATCCTCCTTGAGAGGCCTCCGAGAGGCAGGTCCCTTCAGGATCAATTAAGGTCTCTTGCCCAAGACCTTTCCAGTAGGGATCTCTTCCATTGAAAGAAGAGCTCCAACCCTGAGGCTATATGCAAAAGGACTGCCCAGTCTCACGTGCTTTGTCAAGTCCACTAGACCGACTGGAGGATCAACCTGTCACTGAAAGTCATGAACTTCTGGGGAGACGAACTCCCTTTTTATCCCCAGTGACCGGTTTGTAATGAGACTCAGTAAATACTTTGCATGGAATTGGATGGACTGAAACTCTAAACCACACGAAGAGTTAAGTATCCCCGTTTAAATGTTGCTTCTTTTTTCGCCTTCAGGTTCCATTGCCTTCCCTTTCCCCAACGATGCAAGCAGGCACCATAGCCCGCTGGGAAAAAAAAGAAGGGGAAAAAATTAATGAGGGTGATCTCATTGCAGAGGTAAGTTTTAAGATAGGCAGACGATTCTAAGGGAGTGGATATGTTGAAGAGATTGAGGCTTAGCCTTCTGGTGGGTAGTTTCTCATTTCTTTTTAAGAAACTTCTCTTTTCTTCACCCACCCACAGTTATTAGAGATGATTGGTTAGGTAAGTTGTTAGCAGCTGGCTAAACTGACTGTTTTTGAGATAGGGTTTCACTGTGTAGCTCTGGCTGGCCTGCAACTCTCAGAGTTCCGCCTTCCTCAGCCTCCGAATGTTAGCAATGCCTGGGTGCTAGTCAAACTGTCTTTAAACCATTCTTTCAAGTCTCTGGTAATAGGTTTATCTTCAGATGAAATTCTAGAAACATTCTAATTAACTGCATGCTGGCAGTACAAACCTAAGCTACTGCTTTGTGTTAAAAGGTTGAAACTGATAAAGCCACTGTTGGATTTGAGAGCTTGGAGGAGTGCTATATGGCAAAGATCCTTGTTGCTGAAGGGACCAGAGATGTTCCAGTTGGATCCGTCATCTGTATCACAGTTGAAAAGTGAGTTAAAACCCTTGTAATTTGTGAACATTTGGTGCTTTTAGAGCATTTAAACTCAAATTGGGAGTTAAAGACCTTTGAAGCCTTGCTAGGGATGAGGTGGAGACTGAACTTGCTTTATAAACTCTATGTTTACGTATTCTTTTTCTTCAGGCCTGAGGATATTGAGGCCTTTAAAAATTATACATTGGATTCAGCGACAGCAACTCCGCAGGCAGCTCCAACCCCAGCCCCAGCCCCAGCCCCAGCCCCAGTCGCTGCACCAGCTACATCTTCTGCAAGGGCTCCTGGTAGCTCCTTACCTACCCACATGCAGGTGAGGCCCAGCTTTGGAGTGCCGGCTCCTGATGACTTGTTATTTATCCATTTCTTCTTTTTTTAATGGGTGGTGATTGCATCTTGAAAACTAGTTAAATATGATAAGTGCTTTTCATTCAGCAGAGATTTACCTGTGAAGCTGACAGCTTTTATTCTTGATTGTGTTTTCCAAGTGTGTGAGCTTAGCCAGTTTCTTTACCTTTCTCAGCCTTAGTATAAGATATGGGATAGTGCTTGACTTTTCTCACTCAAAACACTGTGAAAAGTTTTGGAAATGGTTTTTTTTCCTATATAAGCAAATTTAAGTAGAAAACAGGTGCTGTCTGTTAAATGAAAGAGGAAGTTGTCCTTTGGTTTTCCAAAGCATAGAAATATTCCAGTAATGCTTATGAATGAGAAAAGTAACAATAAAGAATGATTGTGAAGGGGCTGTAGAGATGACTTAGCTGTCAAGAGCACTGGCTGTTCTTCCAGAGGATCCAAGTTTGGTTCCCAGCACCTACATGCAGTTCACAACTATCTGTAACTCCAGTTCCAGGGGATCCAACACTCTCTAACAGACAAATGTGCAGGCAAAACAAAACACATAAAATAAAAATAAAAAATTATTTAAAAAGAAGAATGGAGTTTGGCAGTGGTGGCGTACAACTTTAATCTTAGCACTTGGAAGGCAGAGGCAGTTGGATCTCTGAGTTCAAGGCCAGCCTGGTCTACAGAGTGAGTTCCAGAGAAACCGTGTCCCCCACCCCAGAGCCTCGCCCACCAATAAAAAAAAAAAAAGTGCAGAATAAATATGCAGGTTAACATTGTAACAAAGCTAGTGGCCATAAATGCCATTACCATAAACCTAAATCAGCTTCTATAAAACTAAATCATGCTTTTTTTTTTTTTTAAAGATTCTCTTTCATATGTATAATCTAATTATGGTTCTCTCCTACATTGCTCCCAGATCATCCCTACTTCCCTACCTATCCAAACCCATACCCTTTCCTTCTCTCTCTAACTAGAAAACAAACCAGCATCTAAAAAAAGAAACAACAATAATAAAATTAAAATAAACTAGGAAAGTGCAAAACAAACAGGAAAAAACACAACAAACCAATACAGATTCCGAAGCACATACACTAAGTTACTTTATTAGCTACTAGTGTTTTCCTCTGTGTGTTGTGTGGTCTTGACGTTGGAAGTAAGTAAAATCTGAAGGATTAAGATTTGGCCTTCCCTTAACTTTATAGGAAGTTTTCTAAATAAATCAGCTTCTTTGGAGATCATGGCCAGTTCTGTTGGTAACAGTCACTTATGATGAAATGTCGCCTGTCTTTAGCTTCCACAGTTATTCCTTTCAGTTCAGCAACCTTATCTTATTACATAAGACTGCATTTCTCCATTTTATGGTGCTTTGTGTTCAAGTATTAGAATTGGGCCCTAAGAGTCCTTTGAGATGACAGTGATACATGTGAGTATTTCACACACACAGACACACTCACTCACGCTTTCATGTACTTCACTGGTGATTATGAAACAAATTCTGAGCAGGAAGTAATTTATAAAGATTTTCTAAGTCTTGTTTTGTTTCCTACTTCTAGACATTTTGACTGAAATTACTTTTTCCTTAGTATAAGGCTATTGCTACTTAAAAAACTTAAAGAAGATAGCAAATAAAGTCCATATTAACTGAATAAGCATTCAAATTCAGTAGACACAATCATAAATAGGAATACAATTAAAAAAATTTTTATACTACCAGGTGTGGAATCATACGCCTTTAGTCCTATCACTTGGGAGGCAGAGGCAGGTGGATCTCTGGCCACCTTGAAGCCTGCCAGGTCTACATACAAAGTGAGTTCTGGGAAAGCTAGGGCTATACAGAGAAACCCTTCTCAAACAAACAAAAAAAATAAATTATTTTTATATGTATTAGTATAAGTGTGGTGGCATACACCTTTTATCCCAGTACTCCTTAGGCAGAGACCTGTGGATCTCTGAGTTCGAGGCCAGCTTGGTCTACAAAGTGTGTTCCAGGACAAGCCACATCTGTTACACAGAGAAACCTGTCTCAAACAACAACAAAAACAAAAATTTTTTTACATGTGTTCAGTATGCATGTAGACACACTGCGTTTATGTGTGTGGAGGTCAGAAAACACTCGGGAGTAACTTCTCTTCTCTAACTGTAGTGCTGTGGGGAGCAGAGATCGGAGAGTTGGAGAGACCTAAGCGAGAGACCCTGTCTCAAGGAAAAAAGGGAGACAGCTCAGGACACTTTGTGTCTACCTCTGGTTTCTGCACTGCACACTTGCGCGCGTGCACACACACACACACACGCACGCACACGCACACACACACACACACACACACAGATTAGAAATCTTTTCTTAACAGTTTTAAAAACCATGTGTTATGGCTGCCGTCTGTGAAGAATGGTGTTTAGTTTTATGGTTTCCCCCCTCTACTTCTGCCTCATGTGTGCTAGTCAAGTGCTCTTCTACTATTGAACTTCATCCTTTGCTCCGAGAAGACCTCTTAATGTTTTAAAATTTTTAAAAATTGTGTGTGTACCTGTGCATGCTAGTGCTCCCAGAGGCGGGGTTGGACCCCCTGAAGCTGGAGTCACAGTGGCCCGTACGGGTCTCAGGAACTGAACTCAGGCCATGTGCAGGAGCATCAAGTGCTCTTAACTGCCGACCATCCCTCTTGCCCTTAATTTAACTTGTTTTTAAAACAAATACAAAAACAAACAAAAAAAAACCCAGCTTTATATTTAGTAGGTGTAAATAAATGTGGTTTCTTATGTGTGAAAAGATAAATAGATGCTCACTGCAGAACACAGCAAATTCAACAGAGTCTAGACCAAGATCATTGTGTGAAAATGAAAAGTACCCATTTCATGATTAATTAGTTATACTAAGAGTGGTGTGGCCACTAAGTCCCTTGAGCTCCTGAGTGTAGTTCCACATGCATGAAAATGCTAATGGCCCCTGTTAAATCCAGTAGGTCATAAAACAAAACAAGAAATAAAAAGATATGAGGTGGTAAAAGAAACTGTTGGAAGAGGTTTGGTGGAAGTCAGATAAGAAAGGAGGGAGAGGGTAAGTGTGGTCAGGTTGCATTATAGACATGTAAGAAATTTTCAAATATTAGATTCATCTTTAAAATTATTAAAAGCTGTTGGTAAATTATTTCTAAGAAATATTAAGGCAAAGATTATCAAGGTTAAAATTATTGATAAATTATTTGGAAAATAATTTATTCAGAGTTTAAATTCCATTCTTCAGGGTTTTGAGCAAAAAAAAAGAAAGAGAAAAGAAAAGTACCCATTTTAACCTAGCTCCATGGTTCTCAGCCTGTGGTTTGTGACCCCTTTAGGAGTCACAGGATTCAAATATCAGAGATTCTGCATATCAGATATTTGCATGACAATTCATAATAGTAGCAAAATTACATTTATAAAGTAGCAACTAATATAATCTTATGGCTGAGGTCACTACAACATGAGGGTCGCAGCATTAGGAAGGTTGGAAACCACTGACGTAGTTGAAAAGATAGAATATGGGGGGCTGGAGAGATGGCTCAGAGGTTAAGAGCACTGCCTGTTTTTCCAAAGGTCCTGAGTTCAATTCCCAGCAACCACATGGTGGCTCACAACCATCTATAATAAGATCTGATATGCAGGTAAAACACTGTATACGTAATAAATAAATCTTTAAAAAAAGAAAAAATAGAATGTATGTGTGTTGACTTCATTTTGACCATCTAAAGGAAATCTTTCCTATCTCCCTGTTTTCAACTTCGAAGGATGGATTCAGGTGACCCGTGTTTGGAAGGATGATTTGACTGGTAGAAAGCTATTAAGCACAGAGCCTTGTTATGCTAGGTAATTTGGTTTTTGATTATGGTTTAACTTTTGAGACAAGGTCTTACTGTGTAGTCCAGGTTGTTCTCAAATTCAAGAACCTTCTCTTCTGCCTTTTGAGTGTTGATATTACAGATTAATGCCACCAGGCCTGGGTGTGATGAGTGACTGAAATACTAGTCTTCCACTGCATGAAACTGCAAGCATTTTCCTGAATGCTCTGTGTACAGTGCTTCCTGGTTAATCAGTGACTGTTTGTTTCCACAGGTACTTCTTCCTGCCCTCTCCCCCACCATGACCATGGGCACAGTCCAGAGATGGGAAAAGAAAGTGGGTGAGAAGCTAAGTGAAGGAGACTTACTGGCAGAGATAGAGACTGACAAGGCCACTATAGGTGAGATTTCTTCAGCTCTTGGCAGCTGAGTGAGGAGGAGGATGGCCTTCCTTTCCTGTACTGAGTGAGTGATAACATGACGTTTACAATTCCTGGGATTTACTGCCTGGGGGATGATACGTTATAACAAAGCCATGCACAGCCTTGCATGTCAGTTCTGAGTTGTACTTGTTGATTGAGGAGATGTCGAGGTCTTTTCTTAGGCCAGGGTTGCTCTTGGCTATATTTTTATATAGTAATTAGAAGCTGTACCAGAACTGCCTTTGTCTAAATGTGGGAAAAGAAGGGAGGAGGAGGAAGAATGTCATACCCTCTCCGGCAAGAGAATACCAAAGGATTTCAGATGAGTTGGAGGGAAATAGTACCCAGGGTGTAGATTAGTTTCCTAATTTAAAAGTGACATGAATGTCAGTCTTCACATGTGTACCACATTTCATTGTGCCCCTTCATTCATTTACTTTATTCTCAGAAACAAAACCCACTCTGCAGGCATGAATTTGTGCTTGTATTTGTTGATAATCCTAGGTGTTATGGGCTTCTTGCCACTCTTCCATGGTTTACAGGGGCAGGAGGCTCATCCATGCCATAGCAGGACATCAGAGGCACCAAGAAGTAGTGGCCACAGATAGTGTTCTTCACACCTGCCATTCTCATGCCTTTCTCTCTTTCTTTCTCTTTCTTTCTTTCTTTCTTTCTTTCTTTCTTTCCTTTCCTTTCTTTCTTTCTTTTCTTTCTTTCTTTCTTTCTTTCTTTCTTTCTTTCTTTCTTTCTTTCTTTCCTTCCTTTCTTTCCTTTCTTTCCCTCCTTACTTCCTTCTTTCCCTTTCCCTTTCTCTTTTCCTTTCCTTTCCTTCTTCCCTTCTCCCTTCCCCCTCCTTCCCTCTCTCTCTTTCTCTCTTTCTTTTGATTGGCCATTAATCTCCGGTCTTCCAGTCTCAGCCTCCAAAGTTTTGGGATTACAGGCTTGTACTGCTATGCCTGGTTCTCCCATGGCTTTTATTAGAAGAAATGTTTCTGTCTCAAGGAAACCGCAAATGCCAGCAAGATGATTTGGTGTGGATAAAGGTGCTTGCTGCCAAGCTTTAGATCAAAGGTGTGTGCTACCTCTGTCCAGTTTCAATACATCTCTTACTGAGTATTTCCAGTTGGGAAATGGAAGGCTTCATTAGAGATGTGTTCATCAAAGAGAGGTATAAACTCCAGAAAGCAAGATTTAGAAGGTAGAGCTTGCCCTGTTGGTACCTTGATTTTGCTTTTTTAAATCAATTTGTGAGACACGGCCTTACTCACCTTGGGTGGCCTGGAACTCAAAAGAGATCCGAGTACCAAGATTAAAGGCATCATCATGCCATGCTCCTATTTCTTTATAGGGAACTCCTTGCTATGTAACCTAGTCTGGTCTTGAAGTTATATTGCCCAGGATGCCTTCAAGCTTGACATCCCCCTGCTTCAGCCTCCTGATGGTGTGGCTATAAGAAAATAGCCACTGCACCCAGCTTTAGGCTTTACTTTTATAAGTCTAAGTGTTTGAGAAAAACAGTAGCTGAATAGCACATTAACTTTTGACACAGAGACCCCACTGATGCTGTATTTCATCACATTGGAGTAGTTAGCGTAATGTCAAGTATAGCCTTTGAGAAGCTCTGAGAATACTTTTAGTACTGAAATCCCATATTGCTGTCCTGCTTGGTAGTTTTTGTAATTTGACTTCCATGTAACTCTGACTTTTAGCAGTGTAGCTGATTACATCTTAAAATCCTGTGTGTGGGGCTGGAGAGATATCTAAGCAGATAAGAGCACTCTCTGCTCTTTCAGAGGTCCTGAGTTCAATTCCCAGCAACCACATGGTGGCTCACAACCACCTTTACTGATATCTGATGCACTCTTCTGGCCTGCAGGTGTACATGCAGATAGAGCACTCATACGATAGATAGATAGATAGATAGATAGATAGATAGATAGATAGATAGATAGATA